AAATCTCCGAAAAAGCACCTCCATGATAAAACCGGAACTAAAAGGGTTCTGGCAATCACATTATCCCAGATAGATAACAAAAATCTGAAATATCTACTCTTTCGCAATTTTAAGGGATTAGTCGGGAAGCCCTGGGAAAGAAGTTGTAAGTGTTGTGTTCTTGGGAAAGACAACTTGATGACTATGACTCACTCAGTATGACGCGGTGGCGAAAACCGGGTTATAAGGGCGGGGAACTGTGGATCAGTAAGGTTTGGGTTTGACAACTGGTTGAGTCATAATGTTTCGTGCCTGTGGAAGACGTTTTCCTTTCATAGTGCCACCTTAAATTATAGGACAATTCGTTGTATTAAATTTATTGTATGAATCATGTCTCCACAGCCTTAGGCTGGTTCTCCTGACAACGGAGACGGAATTGTTAACGGATTCGTAAGAGCGCTTCTGACCTAATCTCGTACTCAGATCCTACTGTGAAACCGTAACTGAACTCAGAGCTTGCAACCGCTCGGCCGTGGAAGTCTGGGTACGTGGAAGTCTGGCTTAACCGTGGATGGGTAGGAGACTTCTTTCCGACCAGGCCCCGGTTGTTCGAAGGTTGGATAGCGCTATCTACTGGATAAAACTCTATCCGGTGGATAACGCCATGCGTTTTTTTATCACTTATCCGCTGGATAGCGTTATGCGCCCTTTATACAACTGGGTCCCGGTGAATATTGATAGCGGAGTTGCAAGCAGAGTCAAAAGCTCGGAAGAAAAAAAAATCAGAACGGTCAATTTTTTTAACGACTCTGATTATGACCCTTCCAAAATTGGAAACTTTATTTTAGCTGCTTAAAACTAGTTGACTGAACTATCTAAAAACTACCTTTCGACTTGCTATTACCTAGCTTGGTCCCTTGTGTAATCACTGAATACTAATTCCTATCTCAAAGCTAGTTTATCACTATCTAATAACTGGTTATTTGGAACCATGCAGGTAGCTCTATCTAAATTTTATCCGAAAAATAAGTTTGTAAAATAACTATTGCAGAGAGTATTTAGATCGGTATTAGACAGGGTTAAACAAGCATTTGATACTCTAATAAGTGAGTTTTCAGCTAGAAATGAAATAGAGATTAGGTTTTTGCAGCAACAGTAATGAGATATAAGACAGAGATCAACTAGAAATTAGATAATATAGATCAAAATAATAAGAAACTATTCTCTTGTAGACAGCAATTAACTAGAATCAAAATAGCATTGAGCTCGAAATCAGATAGCTGAGAACTAGTTAAGAATCAGGTGGGATTATCAACTAGCAGGAAGATAGTGTAAAACTAGGAATGAGATAGAAGAAAAGTAGCGAGGCGATAAAACAAACTCAGTGTAATGTAGATAGCTGGTTGATATGGAACTTGAGCCTTATGCCTAACTGATAAGACCTAACAAGGCTAAAATAGCTGTCCATGCATGGCTGCCAATGCTCGGTAGATTTAGGAGGTTATGCCTGCCATCACTTTGCCATTGTACCCTTCATGAGGCTTGCAGACACATTAAATGTGAGATATTCACATCACGCACAGCAACATCCCAGAGGTATCACAAATTTAAACCGCACAATAGCTAGTTGTTCGTTTAAAACAGTTTTATTTTATTTTCAAATAAGTCAAATCTGCAATGAGTGTAATTAGAAAGCAAAGAGTGATTTTGACATGGCAAATACATATGTCATTTATTATTTTGAATGTTATTCGTAAGTGGTGTCACTCAGCTGCTAGATTTTGCACCACTTAATTGATCAGTCTGCATAGCAGCCCTTCTCTCTTTTCTTCTTTACCTTTGCTCTGACGTAGCAAGGAAATAAAATGCATTTAAATTTGGCATCTTTTTGTGCCGCACGCAACCTGCCTATTTCTTCCCACTGTGAAAGGGAAAAACTTACATTTTTAATATGACTACATGATGCAAATGATGGATGAAAAACACTACAGATGCACATTGACTAGGTAATTAAAAAAGCAACATTGGAGCAGGCCAAAGGGGAAGGTGTCTTCTTATTTGCCTTTAGTTTTGTCAGTTGCTGTTATTATTGGCTATAAGTTAGAGGCATATCTATATAAAATATATACCACCCTATTAAATGCCTCTTGTCTAGGTACTTTCCCACACCTCACGATATCCTTATCCTTATTATACATCTCTCCTGGATTCTTTTGCCACTGTCAAATTAAAAAAGGAAAACATAGACAAAATTATTATTTTAATTTTTCTTAAAATCAGGTGTCATCTTAACAGCAAATAATATCTGTCAACTACTGTAACTTTTGATTTATTTTGATGCATCAATGTCCAAAAACATCAGTAAATACAGATGTACTTGGATAGTGCTAATGCAGATCTTCACAACTGCTCTTTCTTACCACTCTCTTTTTTTAATGCTTGTAAGCCCTGGATATATGTTCTCCTGTTAAGACTACTCAAAACCTGTCACGGACTTGTATACATAAAAGCTCTATAAGCAAGATTTTGTGGTATATTGTATATATATATATATATATATATATATATGTTTGCTCAACTAATGTTATGTTATGACTACTCAAAACCTGTCATGGACTTGTATACATAAAAGCTCTATAAGCAATATTTTGTGGTATATTGTATATATCGTGTATGTATATATATATATATATATATATATATATATATATATATATATATATATATATATATATATATATATATATATATATATATATGTATATATATATATATATGTTTGCTCAACTAATCAGCATATTCTGCTAATTTTTTCTTTCTTGAGGGACTCTATTTCATCCCCTAACCTTTGCTTTTCCTTTCTGCAGAGCATGTTGTGACAGCCTCCATGGCTGCTTTCACTTTCCATGCTGAATTTAGTGTCAATAACAGCTACACTAGGTTCCAACCCGGCAAAACTCAGAAAATCTTTCTTCTTTCGCCCCCAGTGTTTTGATTTCAGTGAGCGCGCTACACATACACAACCAATGGCAGTAAAAGCCGGCAAACTTTTATCATACTCAATAACTCAATAAGGATCAGCTGGTGTGTGACGTAGCAAAAGGAAACTGCATTTTAATAGTTTGAAATAAGAGTTTCTAAAGCTGACTGTCAGATCCATGCATTTGCTAATTATTTCTCGCATTTATTTTATTTCTTTATTGTTTTTATACCTCTTCGTTGGTGTTTTTTGTTAATGTTAATTTTCTTAGCGTTTTTCTTCGTCAGTTACACCTTATCGCACGTTATTTCGTAGTCCTCTTGTATTTAAAGCCAGTTTCTTTTACACATTATCACTTCTTCAGTCAGTTTACCTCAAGATTTGGTATTCTCTTAGTTTACCGCTTGGCGTAGTTCTCTGTCGATTTTGCAGTGATATATATTGGGCGTTATCAATGAAGGTATTTTTTTTTCCCGTTTTCCTTCGTTTGTTTTCATTTTTTGTTTGTAGTTTGTTTATCGTTATTAGTTAAATTAAATCTTATGTATGTTTTTATTTCAATTGGGCGTTATCGATGAAGGAAATATAACGCTTTTTTTTTTCCGTTTTCTGCAAAATTGTCAATGAATATTTCAACTCAGGCAGGATATTTTTCTTTAGAAACGGGGCAATGTTCTGAGAAGAAACGCAAGCATAAACAGGCAGGATATTTTGGCCGGGGCAGTTCTGAAAGAAGGAAAAATTAGCGAACGAACAGTGCTCGTTCAAAGCAATTTAAAGGAGACTTTTAAATGTTAGGTTTGCCAAGCTGACACCGGTTTTATCGTGATAAGAACTTCAGCTCATCACTCGTTGCTTAAAGAAATGTGAGCCAAAAGTATTCGAAGTTGACGAGTGTTACACTCGCGCGATTTCGCTTTTCATAATCTTGATTTCGTTCCTTCCCCTCCCCTCCCCTCCCCATTTGTTTTCCACGGTTTCACTTCGCGCACCTCACGTTATGAATTTAGTTTACAAAGCCATTTTAATTATCTTTATTCATTATTACATATATTTTACAACAATTTACAACAACTGGAAAGAAAAGACAGATAAAAACCTTCATGGCTGTGATATTTGGAGCTCACAACACGGACCAATGTCAACTGCATGTGCTGAGTTACAGTCCCTAAATGCATTGATTGGGATCCTAATATATTACAAAGGCTTAAGATAAGATAAAATATCTTAGACAAAAGATATAGTAAATAACGTGTTGACAAGCCAGATCATAATGTACCGTAGAATAAGCACCGGGTTGTTGCATTGATAGTAGATATTTAAAGTTTGTTTCCCTGCCGAAAGGTGCGATAGATTAAGAGTCAGCGATCTCTGGAGAAAGAGAGATAAAAACTTTGGACCTCAATGGAAAACGGAAAACTGCCCAATAATTGTTTTACGTAGAGGAGTTTGCGTGCCTTGCGGTGTAGCCATACCTTGATCTGGCCGCTAACATGTATTAAACGTTTTGAACGTCATAATAACTGGTAACATGTAAGGGCTGTCACAAAACATCACAGCAAAGCCACGTTAGGCAAGAAGGAAAATTCTGCTTTTGAGAACTGTACAACTTGTGCAGTTTTTGGCGCTATATTTTCAAGTATGTGACAAGTTATTGCCATGGATTTTGCGAAGGAGAAATATTGTTTTCCCCTAGATCACTCAAAATGTCACGGGTCGACAAGCGATTAAAATCGGGGTTTCTATCGTTACATTACAGTCGCGGATCTCTGACTGTCATAACTTCCATAAAAAAAAATCTTCTACAGGAAGACTTTTTTTCTAATTCAGGAGATTGCTATATCTTTACTAAATGAATCTTTTGTTCCACCCCCGAGGTTTGAACAATACGCTTCATTACGATATCAGGGCGAGACAAACCCCACCAATCGAAGGGACCAATCCAGTGCCCCTTCGGTCTTGTTAACATTCCGTCAAATATTTGCATAGTCACTTGTTCATTCATCCTTAAAAGTTTCGGCGTAATACTTTCAGATTTGACAGCCACTTAGCTTGTGTATGTCTTCAGAAGACTTTTCTAAATTTCAGAACATGGCTCAAAATGATAGTAATCGGCCAAAACCTCGAACATTCAGTCCGTATGCTGTGGACAGCGTAGAAGATGGCTCTGGGGGTCAGGAGCTGAGTTCTTTTAAAGGCAGCTATCCAAATCCTGCGTATGAGAATTGCGGCGATCTTTCTCACCAATATGAAGACCCAACTCGACTCTTAGAGGTGCAATCGATAAATAGGGGCGCTCGAAGGAAGCGCAATGAGTTATATGAGCCAACAGAACTGAGAAAACCGACAGAACCAGAAGAAGAAGGGGTGGATTACAACGAAACCGACATCGGTGGAGATTCCTTGCTGAGTCGGTTGATCTTATTTCTCATTTTGATAGTTTCGCTGGTATCACTCCTCATGGTTGTTTTAATCATTCTTGGCAAAGTTGGTCCAAGCTGCTCTTGTAAAAAGAATTCTGCTCAAGGTAAGCGGCTGGTTTTAAGTTTTTGCTGTTAAAACAATTTTCATCAGTCGTGACTTTATTTCGCGAAGTCAGTGTTTTGAAACTTGTTGAATAGAGCTGGGAATGTTATTGTTCTGAAAGCAGCTCTAACTTGTGCGTGTACACGTAATGAAGACTTTATACGATCATTTTTCGTTTACACTTAACTCGTAGTACTTCCAAAAATTGGATGTTTCATCGGCAACATTTTACAAAAAGTGCTAATGCAAGTTCTTTTACTTTCGTAAGCCATGTTGTTTTGATCATCAGACGGTAAATATCCCGTTGAGTACTTTACATTTTTTAATTCTTTACTCAGTAACTCGAAAGAGGAATAATTATCTCTATTACAAAGAAAACGAGGATGCGAAATGGTCGCATAAAAAAAGCCTTCCCAGTTTCCATCCATATGAATTTTGTCATCGCCTTTTTTTTAGCTACAAAAGACATGAACAGACTCATTTTCTATCGGCATTTTGTTTAAAGTTTATACAAAGAAATCTTTCGATAAATTGTGCGTCAATTCAATGTTCTAATCCCATGACAATCCGATGGATAACTAGTTTCTTTATCACTGGACAATTGAACTAATCCAAGACAGATCTTCACAAACAATGAATCAGTCTTTGTTTGACCTTGAAGTTTCTAAGAAATTTGTGTTAAGTCGCGTCGCTGCAACTTCTTAAGGAATTTTAGCAGCCACTATGTTGTTATAGGTTTAATGAAGCCAAAGATTTTTCAGCAAATTCAGCATTATAAATATGATAAGAAAAAAGAAAAAAAAATGTGATAAATGGCAGAAAAGCTTATTTCAAATCTTTCTTGGTAATCATCGTAATCAAATGTTGCAGTTCAAAAGGGCAATTTTTGCGTTTTCAATGGCAACAAAATAACACAGCGCTGGCATTTGAAAATTTGAACATTTTTAAGTTTTTCAAACTATGCTACATATCTTCCGCAGAGGTAAACAGAAATGTTTATACTTTCTTAGCTTCAATTCTTCTAAAAAAAAGGAGCCAATTTCATTAAGAGACTCAGTGAAATCAATATGAAATTTATAAGTTTACAAACAATTTAAGAAAATATTATCTTCGTGCCTAAAATGTACATCGCATTAACGTCCTTAATAATTCAAACCAGGAAACTGCGCGAACTATATTTAATATAACGATTGTTTTGTTATAGAGAACTCCATGCGAAATAACTGTTTTGCAGGATGAAATTTTATGTCATGGTTTTTTATTTAATATGGTTTTGGCAAACCACCTTTTCCTATTTCCATGCATAAACAAAAACATGATCTACCCAAGGCTATAACTCACACGACTTTTTTTTGTAAAAAAATAAGTGAAAAGTTAGCTCGCCCAGGATACCTCGGGGGGAAGGCTGTCTCGGGTACCCAGATTATGTAAATGGGGCTTTGGAAAAATATACCGTAACCACCATTTATAATTTTTCAATGCATTAGCCAACAAAAGGGTGTCATAAACAGTTTTATTAATCAGCGGAAAAAAGGTGTCCAACCTATGTAACTCTCAAATCCCTCAACTAGCTTATAAAGAAATACATGACATCTTAGAAGACAGAATTACGAAAGAGATTCGGGGAGATTGGTGGTTTCATCGATTTGTAGATCTTAGCCAGAGCTGACTTGGAACTCGGTTAAATTACAGTATACAGCGCCACTTTTAACCATGCCCCAAACTAGCCGACTCGTTTAACTCGTTTGGCCCTCTGTCAAGTCAAATGAGCCACTAAATACTGATTTAGACCTTGGACTTAACACGCATAGAGATTATTCCGCGTTCTTTCATCCAACGCCAAGCCAAACGATCCACTGAATATATATTCCCTCAAAAGTAGCCCTTGTCGGTTTTACTGAACCTGCAAGGAGGTGCAGATGTTATGTAGAATAAACGTATTGAGTCAAAAACTTCATATTCAATTTTCTTATCTTTTGCAGTGAGTTTTCAGTATTCTATTTGTATTAAGTTTTATTGCGGTCTCAAAAGGAAATCAAAGCCTCGCGCTCTGTCAGAGCTCTAAAAGTGCAAAATTTGTCTTATGATCGAGGGTCGCTCTCAAAAACTAACGAGAAGTAGAAGCGTCTATTTTAGGCCTCCAAAGTCTGTTTACGATCGATTTACCGTCGATTCGCCGACTGCCATTTCGCTGAAAACTCGGATCGATAAGCCGACGTGTTATGACCAGTTCGCAGAAAAGACCGAATACCGCACAATCGCCACCGATTAAAAATATTCCGATGTTGGATCTGTCGATGATATATCATCCGGCAAAAGCCGGCGAATGCAAAGTAGGGAACAGTAATTGTAACATTGCACTTTCCTCTTATTGTTGTGAAACCCTGCAGCACTCTTAGTTGTTAAGCGGAATTGTTTATTATTGTCTCGGAATCTGCAAGAATTCGCTAACCCTTCTTAAAGCAAATGACTCCTCATAACAACTTCCTATTTGGAGAGGCATTTTTAGCTCAATGGAATAAATACTTTGATTCAGCTGAGATGTCACATCTCCGGTTTGCGGTCCCTTTCATTTCGTGTCCCAATTTATGTTGTCAGATAATCGTTCAACAGCGCTATGATTGCGTCACCGTTCAGAAGCCGGCCAATTACAAAATCTTTTAAATGAAGAATTACGACAGTTGCTTAGACCTGTTTTCCGTGTCAGAAAATTTCCACGGACCGCCACATGAACTATGCGTTCTCGTATCGGGTTTTTTTTTCTTCCCAAATCAACCCTCTTACGCCTAGGAAGCCTAAGACAATTATACCCAAGCCCTGAGGGTCGAATTGAGGACCGGAATCACTGATCACGAAGCGTGTTACTTTGCTTATGAAAGTGAAACAGGCTGAGCAGAGAATCTTAATTCCCATCGGCTTTTCTAGGAATGCGTTCGGCCTTTACTCCGCGTGCTTTTAGTATGTTCCATAAACATATGCTTCTGTTCATGTATAACTCAGTCTAAACTCAGTGACTTAGAAATAATTCAGTGTAAGAGGGAGTTTGCTACTCTTTGAAAAATATATATTTATAAATTTCTTATGAGAACTATTCTATTCTATTTTAAGACTGGCTTTAAGAAAAATAGATGATCTGAATAATTTGATACAAATGCAACTTTTTGACGGTACATGCTAATAGCTTACCATATAATCTTGAATTAGTATAAACGAAACTTCGAAGGCAATTCATTCAGCCCTGCTGTAAAAATCACGTGTTGTAGGAGTTTGCAAGCTTGTGGTTGTTGATAGCTAGGTTAGAATTCGAAATCTGCTCGAGGTGAGCACATTTGTGCGAGCAAAAAGACCGCTCACCTAAGTTTTTCCTGTCTAACTATCAAGTTGATAGATAAATTGAAAGTCGAAGCGAAAGAAAACAGGTCTTTACCAGAAAGCCTTCCGATGTATGGCCAACTGCTTAAAAGATAATCTACACCCTCATTAATCTCCAATTTCCTCTGGGGAAATTAGTAGCCGTGACATGACAAAGAGAGAATATTAACCAAGCCAGATATTTTTTTCGGTTTTTTTTCCAAAGTGACCTCAGGGTGGGCCCGACCTCGGAATGATAGCCTCACCTAGAATTCTTGTTAAGGATTTACAGGCTCCAGAGTGATGTAAGTTACACAATTATCGCGCATTTTAGCGGAATCATGAAATTTACAATTACAGTCTTAGTGTCGCTTACCATTGAGAAGTAATCTTCCGGTTTTTTAAAAATAAACGTTGTGGAAGAAAAATGCACAAACGTGGGCGGCATTTCGGGCGAGCGAAACTAGCTCTCCTTCGTCATGGTTTTTACCAAATATGAGAAGGCTAAATACATATTCATATTTCTTTCTTTATTTATCTGTTTATATTTTTCTTGTACAGTTACTTTAGTGCCAGATTGTGCTGTATTTTTTGTAATTTTGATTGAAATAATTTCATTTCTGTGAAACAGACTGATTCATCCAATTTTTCGCGTTTCAAACTTATTTCGGTCTTTTCTTTCATTTTTTATTTATCTGTTTCCGTATGTGGAGTTTTCTGGGATGAAATCTAACAGTTATTTTCGTGTCATATGTTGGTATTTGCGGGACGCTCCCTGACGAAAAACCAAGAGGTCATGTCATAGCAGTGGTTCAAATTGGGAAATTGATACTGATTGTCCGTGTACGAGAATTTTTAGCAAACGGAACTTTTACTAGACAGGTCATTGACGTAGGAGAATAAATAATAGGCTTGACTGGTAAATGCGTGGAACTTGCTCTCATGGAATCATAAACCAATCAACGTGCTTCCTTTTTGGCGCGTAGCAAAACACACTATTGAATTACTCATTCACTAGTATGCTAACGTGGGAGTTAGGTATTGTATTGTTTATAGTATTTATTAAGGTTTTAGAATCGGGTCTGTTCGTGTGGCTTTAGTCAAGTTAGTTAACCGTACATACTGAGATGTCGACAGGTTTTGCGTTATATCCAAATCGTGATTTTACCCCGAGCGCTGTAGACAGTTGCGAAGTGAGGTTTGAGTCTCCGCGATTGTCCTACTCTCAAACAAGTTTACTAACCGATCCCCGCCGAGAGATCGACGAAGAAAAATCTCATCATTATGAAGATCCTACGGTTATCAACGAACAAGTTCGTGTTTTACAAGGAGGAGGGAATACAGGACATCGAAAACGTTATAACGATATGTACGAGCCGCATATACCACTGAAGAATTTACGGGTCAGATCGAGAGATGATTCAAGTTGTTCAGAACTGTCGGACACACCTTCAAAAGAATCTTGTTTAAACCGTTGTATTTTGTTTTTTGTTCTTCTTACTTCGGTGACGGCGTTAATATTGGTGGTACTTTTAATGTTTGGCAAAGTTGGCCTTATCGTCGAGCGAAATTGCGCGTGTAACCCGGAAAAAGGAGACTTAAAAGGTAAGGGAAGCGACCACGTGCTCGATGTGAAAATGTCCTTGATAACTTACGGCAGCTTGTAAGAGCAAGTGTCCCTTGAACAAAAATGAAAAACTTCGGGGTACGTTCGAGGATAGTTTCTTCTTAATGCTTGTAGACGATGAGACTACAGTGGTCTGGCATTTTAAATAATGTATGCTTATTTTTAGTCAGCGAACGTACTAGAACTGTGAAGTGTAGCTTAAAGGCTGATTACCATAGAAATCACCTCAGTGAACATTCCAGGCGAGTCAAGCGTGCTGGACGACTAATTGATGTCTGTAATCTATCTTTTTTTGTTTTTGTTTTTTTTTTAATCCCTTATGGCTGGTTATCAGTTAAGGAAACCAAATCTTGGACAACATTTTTAAGCACGGAACGTTACGTGTCAATTACAGATGAATCGACGATGTCGAAACTCAGCGGGAACAATTGAGATTTGTTATGCCTAAGTGTTTTGCAACTTCACGCTGTCGTAAACAAAGGGATTTTAACTTCAAAGAATTTTACTTTAACCGAAACTAAACACTTCAAAAACAGAGAGCGTGCATTTCGGTTTAAGGGTTCGCAATATCATTTCACTCGATCAATGTTGACTTTGTACTCTTCGGACGAATGGTGTGTCACGCCTTACTGATTTCGAATGTGTTTTGATTGAGCGTCACAATACATCCACTTGATTATGTGATTTACGCAGAAACAGAAATCGTTCGCATGCTTATGCAAATTTAGATGAAAGTGATCTATATCGGTTCTCAATGTTAACCGTACACGTTTATTTTCTCAAGCAAAAAAAAGTTCATTTTAAATCACATTATTTCTGACAGCGTTTTTTGGCTCAATAATTGTTTGCCAAGCATTTAATGGCTATATTCTACAAGGGACTGACTAGATGGTTTTTAACTGAGTTACCAACATTTGAGACATTCTAGAAACACTATTAATAATTAACATTTTTCGTGTCATGGTGCCAACTTCAACAAGTTTGAAAGAGCTTTGAATTTGTGTTAGTTCCTAAATTTATCACTACTAACCGTTAACCAGTACGAGCCTCAGGTAAAATTTCCGCACAGCCCCATCCTACATTATGCATTCAGTTCTTGAACAGAGGAAACAATGACAAAAACAATACATTTCCATTGGGAAAACAGATTTGTTTTACAATAGTATGGGGCTGTGCGGAAACTTTACCCAAGCCTCATTCTCTTTTCTCATGTAAACCTGTTTGAACCAGGTATGCAAATCCAAATTCAGCACTTAAAAAAAATAATTACTCATAGAAAAATTCCCACGGTCTTTTCACTATGACCTAGAATGTTTTGAATTGGAATGTAATGTTTAGAAAAGGTGTTATTCAAAAGTGATAATCTATATTGACAAATATTTTCAATTTATAACAGAGAGTTATATTGACGATCTAAATATACCAGTACATTATGCTCCTACATAGTAGTCTGCCTTATACAGGGATATTTTATTAGACATTCTGATATTTTATTCCATTAATAAGCATTAATTGTTCTTCTGGTACCTTTTGTTCACTTTGAGAGATCAAAAGTAGCTGTTGGGTCTCATACCAGTGTCTTTATGGAATTACTCTTTCTTGCTTGAAAAGTTGCTCCCCAAGCTTTCTTGGACCTCACCTCTTTGAGCTCTTTGCTATTGCCATCAATCAACTGACAGCATTTGTTCCCTTGGTTGTTTGAACTTATTTCTATGTACTTTATGTGATACTGACAATGGATCTTCTCCTCTTCTCATTAGAAGTGCCAAGTGGGCAGGAAGTGAAAGGTGGTGCACCCTCAAGCACAAGTGAAGTGGGCCTGTCAGTTTCGCCACCTGATATCTCATCACTGGAGGACAAGATCGACCAACTTAAAGCCAATATCTCGATGATAAAAAAATTTATGGTACGATAAGAAATGCGACAGGTTAATGATATGTACATGTACCAAAACCATTAAGGGAAGGAGCTCGGTGGGCACAGACAGGACCACTAAACTAATGCAGGAAGATTAAGAGGGTTGGTGGATAATTTGGTGTACTTATCAGGGGCTCAATATGGGGTCAGTCATGACTGAGATTAAAAAAAACAAGCCAAAGCCTTGAAAATGTTTGGTGATATATGACAGGTTTCCCCAAAAAATGTTGCTTGTTGGTTGATCACATTGTTAAACTGTCCATAATTGTTCTCTGACATTCCTATACTTGCTGCTACATTCTGCTCTAACTTTTTTTTTTTTATTTTGCACATCTGACGGAACCTTTTTTGGCAGACATTCCCAAAGTCATGTTTACCATAACTATAACTTGATATCAGATTTTGAATTTCTACACCACTGTACATGGTTATTTTTTTAATGAATTATTATTTCAGGCAGTCACTAAAAACAAATTGCATGCCCTTGATCTTTCCACAGATAACTCTTCAGCACGATCTTCACAATACAAGAGGCAATTTAAATGACACCAGAGATAAAGTCAGTGAGACAAAAGATGGACTTTTGCAGATAAAAAGTGGAATGCAAGACTCTATAGATAAGGTATACTAAATTCGATATTTACTCAGCATCTAAGAGGATCAAAGATTTTTTCCTACATTTAGAAAATAAGAGTAGTTTTTAATTCAATCACTACAGTTAGTTTTTACAATTGTGCTTGGCTGCTAAAATTTCATTTCACCACTTGAATAAAAATATATCCCAAGCAACAGCCTTCAAATCAAGGCTCTGGACACAGACTGCTTGATTCAAATTTATATTTGGTTGTTTTTAATCTGCTTATTTTGTAGCACAGTAATAAAAAAAAACCCCACCTGCATGTCTCCCCAAAAGTTCTAATGGACAAATTAATTTTTTTACAGATCAGTAACATCAGTCAACAGCTTGATAAATCTGTTAGTGTTGTCAATGAAAGTTTCCACCATGAGCTGGTATCTCTGGAGACGACTTTCATCACAAAGGTAAGGCTTGTCTGCCAAGTACAAATACAATACAAAATAAATATTTTGAATAATTGTATTACCATCATTCCACATATTTCAGCTGGAAAAAAAATTAAATTCTGCCGTGGTTAAGAACAATTTGAAAAGATATGTAGATATGAGTTCTGCTATTACTTTGGGACTACTTTTGGCCAATAAGTAAAAGAAAACTGAATAAGCACAATCAAAAAAGAAGACAATTATTGTTAAAAATATTTCCTCAAGAGTCATTCCGTCCGATCAAGGGTGAAGGAGATAGATATCTGCATGCATAATACAGACACCATCAGCTGTTGAGAGTTTTAGACATTCATGTATGTTCTATAATAAGTAATTTAGTATACAACATAATGTTTTCACCTAATGTTTAGACTCCTCATTTTGCAGTTAAACAACACAGTTCAAAGCCTGTCTGATGCTGATAGCTCCTTAAAAAGTTCTCTGGATGTTATTAATAGCTCCTTAACCTCACACGTAAGTTAAAAACGCATACTCAATAAATATAGAAATTCGTGATATGCTCATTGGTTGAGAGCTATGGCCAATAAATGAGGTTAAATATCATAAAACAACGCAGAAAAAATATTCTCGTTAGAATAATTGCAAATTTCTGAAATATGGACAGTGACGAATTTCCGAATTTAAACATCGGTTTACCTGAGCAATATTTGAAAAATATTTTCCGGCTGTTCCTCGTGTACTACCTTTTTTTCTTACCCACATTTCGACGTCATCTGTGCGTCTGTTCAGTTATGAGGGGGCTTAAGCACAAACGTTTTTGAGACGCCAACGGCAGTCGGAATTTAAAATTTCTCACTACTAATGATAATTAAACTTTTCTGGGCAGTCAAGTTTGGCTTAAATTGCTAAAACGACGACCACACTGTCGATACACTGGCGTCAAAGTGTGTCAGTCACTTTTTTTTTTAAGTTTTACTCTTCATCCAGTTGCCGGTTGCGTCTCAAAAGCGTCTCTACTTAAGTTCTCTAATAGATCACAGATGACGTCAAGAAGCGGTCAAAGCAAATAAAATGGCTGATTGTGTCACTGATGGTTGCACTTGACTATTTATCTTGTAGATTCAAAGCATCAGCAAGTTACAAGGACCGATAGGCTCCCCCGGATTCAATGGGTCCAAAGGTGTTCCAGGTGCTCCAGGTAACGAAGGGCCCAAGGGAAATGCAGGTGCGCAAGGACCCCCGGGTCAGCAAGGTGACGCAGGGGACCCGGGAAGGAATGGTACTGATGGTGTTAATGGCCAAAAGGGAGATCTGGGACCACAGGGTGATAAAGGACCACAAGGGCCTGTAGGACCCGCGGGACCTTCCGGACCCCCGGGCCCCAAAGGGCCTCCTGGAGCCGGGAACTTCAGTCAGTGTGCATATCGCTCTAAGGACCAATCATTTACAGCTAATTCATTCACGTCAGAAAGTGTTTCGTTAATTGAACCGAATGTAAGTACCCACTTTTTGAAACTTGTATCAATCGTAAAACCTTATTGATACATAATTTTCGTATGACTTAATTTTCGCAGTTGTCAAAAATTTGCGAAATAGAAGAATCGCCTAAAGAAGGTTTTCGCGATATTCATTACCCTGCTATATAACTCTTTAACCAACGTCAACGTCGGTTTACTGCGAAATTGTCTGGACCAATGTTCTCTAGTTAGGTTTTGGTGCGTGAGCTCCCTTCGTCTGAATCAATATCATAGCGCAAATAGACGTTGTCATGTACTTTTGTGGAGCTCTGCATCGTTGCAAAAGAACTTGTCAAACTGTTTTTAGTCTCGTTTTGATATAAAACGGTTTTGGTCAGTGTAATTGGAAACTATTGTTATGGAACATTTAGATCAGTTGTGCTAATTCTGAGACTAATTGTTCGTTAATGCAGATCAGTATTTAAACAATTTTCGCGAAATTCAGGTCCATTTGATATAAATTTATGGCCAAATTGCAATTAAATTCCCGTGAAATTTGCACGTTTCATTTTCGTGAAATCAATTTCCCGTGAAAATAACAAGCAACAAACGACTCGTACACTGATCAAGTAAATGATTCACAGACAGGAAGAGTGGCCAACTTATTAATAGCAAAACGTTCTTTGATAATTATATATTGATTGTAATGTTTCCTTTAACGTTTGATCATTTCACTTAAAGTCATTTTATTTTTCTTCTTCTTTTCTTTGCTATTGTGTATGTCGTTATTATCCCTTTTTTTTCTTAATTGTTAATATCATTTTTGCTATTTTTAGGGTAAGAAGATTCTGGGTGTCTCGTGTTCCACTAATCGGGCAGCGGAATACAATTTAGACATAGAGGAACTTACGGACCCCTCCTTCGCAGGGAAATATCGTTACCGTTGTACCTGCAAGGGGCTGTCTAAGCTGTTCACAGATTCGACCAATTCGGTGAAATGCATCCTGCACTACTGGGAGTGCCCATTGACAACATAAATGATATCACATAACCCTTAGATTCACTGGTATTAGCTATAGAAGTATATTTTTGTTATGTAAATTCCAAAGTTTTCAAACTTCTCTGATTGCCATGGTCAGATATCTTTTGCCGTTCTGAACTTTCGAAGAATACTTCTCAAGGGAGACTAAGCGTGAGCCATATCATCGTCCAGATAATATGGCTTTGACAAACTAAACGACATCAGTGGTACGTATGCGTATGCGCATGTATGCGACTGTCGACGCGACTTTCTTAATACAGCACACGGCTGGAAGATCGCTTTAGTATGAGTCTTCAATCCTTTAGTTAAAATTTTAGTGTCTTTCACTTTTATCACTGCCTAGTGGCTTTTGTTTAAGATAAACACAATAGAAGAATTGAAGGAAGCTTCATTTCAAATAAGATTTACAGCTCATAAGAATTTGAAAATACGAGTTTCGCAATATGATAAAAAGAAAAAGCCTAGATTAAGGCTTTATTTTCCCAAAGAAAAAGAAGTTAATTTCGGTTTTTATCATCAGTGAAAATGGTTAATCTGAAACGAGGAATACTGTTTTCTTATCAGTTTAAAGAGGAAGCTGTTAGGTAATCGAAAGGAAATATAATGTACAGTAACGTCGTTTTCGTTTTAATCATTCTCTTTTAACACCTTCAGATCTTGACTTTATTGTTTTTCGCTTTCTTAGTTTCAATTTATTTATTTATTGTTGTTTATTTTAACGCTTTTAACTAAATTGAACAATGTGGAACATAAAGTTTTGCATACTAACGTACATCATGGAAATCTCCCCAAGCATTGGTGAGTCATGACGTAACTTTTAAAGCAATTGTGTTATCAATTGCGTTGTTATTCATGTGTTGCTATTTATAAATGTTGATTTACGGAAGTTCTAGTGGAGATGTCAACCGAGTATCAAAAGTAATCTGTGTAATCTCAATCTCAAAAACCCACGCTTCCTTTTAAACCAATCAAGTGTCTGTCCAAATACTTCCATTTTCCAGCGCTTCGAGCCTTTTGCTTTTCGTTGTGGTTGATTCTTCGTGGACCTTTGCTCAGTTCTGATTGTTCGCTGCAATTACCTTAGATTTGGTGTTACCAAACTCGATCAAAAGTTGCTCTAGATATGCTTATTAATTCGTTAACACACGGTAATGAATTTACAAGCATACTTTTTCTCACTTGATGTTTTTTGCGTTTTTATCTGCAACTTGTTTACAAGGTACTTAGACTGTATGCAGGCATACATGCTGAGGAGCAATTTTTATTCGCGTATTTTACTTAAGTTTATAGTAAATGTGTATACTAAAACATTAAGTACATTTATTAGATGACACAACCACTTTAAGATTATCTCTTAAGCCGATTCAACGTAGTCAGCGTAAGAAAACTCGATAATCTGCTTTGGTTAGTTTGTTAGTTTTAACAGATATAATGTTTTATCGGCCTAAATGTCAACTAGGAGTTTTATTTGAATTCGAATTTTATCAGAGGATGTATTTTTGAACACAAAGAGGTCCGTAGCATTCTTTAGTTAGGAACTCAGAAGCATCTTTTGTGGTTACAGTTTCCATTAACAAATTGTATAGAGTACTTTAATGTGCGTGGTATGCAAGCTCCTTTTTTACAACACGAATCTCTGTAGATGCAGCAATGCAGACAAACTCCAGAATAGACGAACATACTTACAAAAACAAAACACGTGTTAAAAACGGTTTTTCTTTTTACATTGGAAACTGAACTATTTTACGCAGGTTTCTGAAAAGCAAGGGGATGCTTAGAAGGTACCCCAGAGGTGTTTGTATATAGAGAATATGTTATCGAATTGAGATCGTTTAGTTAGCTATGAAGTTTAACATTTGTAGAAACAGTTCACAAGGGCTATTAGGATATAATTCATAAGTCCTGTTTAGATACCTTGTAAAAATAGACTTAAGTGTCTGAGTATGTACATAGAGGTAGAATTGAATAGTTTTCTGTTATATTAAAATTTTAGTTGAAAATAAAGAAAGAAATGACTGAACGATTCGTGTGTATTAGTTAGTGACTAGTAACTAGCTACAGTATGCAAATTCTCCATTATGTTCTTTATACGTTTGTGGAAGGTCCTGCCAAGGTTATAATCTAAATATTAAACATAACATTGTTTCATCAACTGAGTTGTTAATGCAAATTGGCCACCGTAGAAGGTTCGTAAAGCTCAAGCGTTAGCACGTTGTCATTAGCGCCTTCGCTGTGTTTTGTGAACAAAGTTAAGAAACGATCTTCCGCGGGTTAAAATAACTTGTTACTAACCGACTGGAAATATTGTCCTGAGGTTGTGGCAGTAAGAACGTATAGCGTAGCGAGGGGAGAACAAAAACGAGGAGGGGCCCCAGCAAGTGATTTCAAAATAACTTGTTACTAACCGACCGTAAGGGCCGTACTTGGAATATTGGCCTTAGGTCGTGGCAGTACGAACGCCTAGCGCGGCGAGGGGAGTACAAAAACGAGCGAGGGACTTCAGTAAGTGATTTAAGTAAGTCAGCAGTTTGTTATTGTGTATGGAACTCCGACCAAACTTGTTTATTTTGAATTTGGCGGCTTTTGCGAAGAAAATAAAGTACATGGATTTTGACCATTCTCGTGGAGACAGTCGGTATGGCAAGATACGGACCAAGTAGGAACCAATCAGGCTACTCAGTTTTACCTCTGAACTGCCTTGCCATATAATAATATTTTTTATGCGAGGCAGTTAAACAGTCTATTAAGACATCTGTGTCCAGAATAAATCCGTGAATCCGTAAATTCGTGATATACCTTTTCTTACGTGGGGAATGATACCTCCAAGAGCTAATAAGAATTTAAAGTAAAGTTTCCCTATGGAGTGGGAAAACGCAAGCAACCAAGTCAGGATTGGTTTTAACTTTGTATCTGATTGGTAGAGAGAGTGGCGCAAGTTTTCCGGACCAATCACAGAGTAAAGTAAAGCAAAACCAATGCATTCCCGGACTACAATCGACATTCAAATGAAAATTGCGCTATCGAAGAGAAATTATCAGCTTTCAATTGCAGTAATCTTGCTGACAGTCTAGCTCTCAGACGCAGACGAAAAGGAATGTTAAATTCATAAGGAAAGTGAGGTAAAAATATAAAACAAAAAACTAATTTTCAATCAAATTGTTTAGAATAATTTCTGTTAAGATTACCTACTTCGCAAATGTGAAAATGATAACGAGTTTTAGACAAATTTCCCTCAGCCTCATCTCAAGATAAAGGCCTGGGCCTAGTCCCTCAACTGGTGGGTGACGCTATTCAACGGATAAATCGCTATCCGACGACTAAGTGTTAAGAAAACGTTGAGGGCTTTCCATAGGATAGAGATTCATCTAGTGGGTAACGTTATCCATCCAACGCTCGAACAAACAGGGCCTGATGCTCGCTCTTTCAAAGGAAAAGAAAATTTTAATCACATGCAAATAAACTTCTGTCCATGTGAACACATGTAGTTGTACACCTGACCAAACTTGCTTTGTTCCTTTTCAATAAAACTACATACGTTGTTATCTCACTGATACGGTATATCCTTATTCACAAGCATACTTCTAGGTTAGTTTTCACCTAGGGATTTCTCACCTTTTATTTTATATATTTTGAAAGGAACCTTCCTAATTTATTATTTACATTTTTAGGGAGTCACTTGGATCTTTCTACTGTTTCGAAAAGTGATCAGCTGTTTTGTATCAGACCTATTGTGCTGTTCTTTGAATACGGTATTATTATAGTGAATTTTATTGTAGTTACATATGAAGAAACAAATGTCTTCAATTTTTCGCTATTAGCAGAATCTCGAATAAATCTGTATCTAAGCACTATTAGCACGTACTGACAAAAAAATTTAAAATATAAAACCGTACAAATAAAGCCGTTTTTTCTGGAAAATAGTGGAAATGCCTTTGATGAATCGATGGTTGAGCGTCCTTGATACTGCTAACTGACAATTTCAATTGGCATGTTTTCCAGTTCAATTATATAATCCGTAAAAAACGTAGAGATTAAAGATATCACGGAGCTTGTATAGGGCAGGCCAAATAATACAGAATACAGTTCACATCATTAATGGTTTTTCCCGAAGTGGTTGTTCCAACACCCTTGCACACGCATTCGTAATTATAAAGATTTCCATTTTTTGTTACCACCAGGTTATACTCTTGGCCATAATCCGTTGTGCAAGTCGCCGCCACAATTTTTGTATCCTGCGGAGAAAACATGGAGCAAAAACTAATGAAATGAAGAAGATTTGAGTGGATCTGGAAGATACAGACAAACGAATAATTGTAGTCCCGTTAAATAGCTTACTTTGAAAGAAAACAACTTCATTTTTTTCCGACAATTTTTAAATCCTCTTCGAGGTCTATCTCGTCGGAGAAAAGATTTTACATCGATATGATAGTTTACATACATATCACTATCGCAAGTACTCATGGGCATTAACAAACCACGTGAATGATTTACTGATCTGCCTCCCGATCGTGCGTGAAAAGACTGACTTACAAATCCCTTTAGCGATTTTGAAATGCTGAAAAGATTGAAAGGAAGATAGCTTCTTTCAAAGAAGAAATAAGAAAAAGAGTTCCATCGTAGTTCTAGAGAAGAAGTTTTGAGGAGAAAATTTAATGTTCGAATTTAGTGCGAGAATCTAGAGAGCTTTGAGAACAGATGCTGTCATAAAGATTGTTAAGTCATTCGTTTGATGATTTTTTCAAGCCTCGGAAATTCAAATCAAGGTGGCTATCGCAAAAAAAGCGAGTTGAAGCCATGAAAAACCATCTTTCAGTGGTTACTCGCCTGACTGTTACTAACGGAAGCTTTTTTCCCTGGAATATCCTTGGACTTGACCGTAGCTGTCTCCTCCTGGCACCAACTGAAGTTACCAATCCCTTGTGGTCCCGCAGGTCCCTCGGGTCCTTCTGCGCCAGTGGGCCCATCGTCGCCAGTAAACCCTACAGGTCCCTTATCACCTGGAAGTCCTTTATTACCATTAGCCCCTGGGAAGCCTTCTATCCCAGATATTCCGTTATTCCCTGGGGGACCCGGAGACCCCGTATCCCCTGGAGGTCCTATTGGACCGGTTTGTCCCGGATCTCCTCTCGGTCCCACTGAGCCATTCCTTCCTCGTTCGCCTTTTGGACCAGGAAGGGAGGTTTTTGCTTTCACCTTTGAAAAGAGAGAGCAAAAGTAGATGAAAAGCAAGCCAAGTATGGGAATTTTTTTTTTTTCGAGTGGAATTCTCTCCCGACCATTTTAGTTTCCTCCAGGAAAGGGTAGAAATGACATTGGCCATGTTTCGAGTTTTTGCTTCTTTTACTTTTTGGATGAGCAAAAATTGCTTAAACTTAAAACATTCGTTCAATTAAAAAACACACACCCAAAAGTATATAATGGGCCAAGGAGGAACAAACACTGCAGAGCATGATGGAGGTCAAGACGAATTGAAAATGCCAAACTTGGAAAAAAGTTGTGATAAACTTTTCAAGCTGAGTCAAACATTCGGTGCCTCCTATACAGTCCTTTTTGATTGACTGTCGTAAAACCTGAGCCCAAGTATTCTCAATGACCCACCAGAAGGAACGAAAATACCTTAAACAGCCGATGGAAGCTCAAAGAAAAAACAACCAAACTGCCCAAAGCACGGGAAAACGCGGGCGACAAAGTTGTAATTGGTTTTAGTTTTGCATCTGATTGGAGGCGAGTGGCGTGAGTTTTCTAACCCAATTACAGAGCAAATTAAAGCAAAAACAAAGCAATTGCGGATTATTCTCGACTCTCAATTGAAAATTGATCGAAACGTGTTCTTGATGAATATTAATATATTATCAAGGAAAATGGTGATGGATTAACTTCCAGACACTATTTAGCATATTTTCTAGCCAAGGAAATGCGACTAAACAGTTATATACTCAAAGGATCAAAGACATCTTTTTCCGGTTATTTTAATATCACCGAATTAGAAGCATCACCTTTCACAATTGTTCAGTAATTTATCAAAACAAGCAAGCGAAGTACAACATACTTGTTCTCCAACAGTGTTGTTCATCGTGTCGATCATAGCAACAATGGCGTCGTCATGTTGTTCCAAGGTTCTTTTCACTTGTGACAGCTGCGAAAATAAGAGGGGTGACGTTAACCCTTTACACTTTTGTGTCAGTATGCATATTCTCCATACTGTTCTCTACACATTTTCTGAGGTGCGGATAAGGAGAATTTGTTTAACAATTAAGAGCTTATTTAGTTAGCGATCATTTCCTTTATTTTCGTAACCCTACTGTTTGATTCAGGGATGATAATCACTTCTACTAAGAGGAGTTAATATTGTCTTGCTCCAACTAATTATATACCTTGTTCGTGAGCGTTGCGTTCAAAGAATCGAGTTGAGTGAACATTGGACCATGATCAGGATTAAACTGCTGCATTGAGTTATTTACCTAAAAAAAAGAAGAAAATAAAGAAGATAACTTCTTCGCCAGGCCAAGAAGACTTCACGGCTGTATCACCCAGTCACCTATGGCTAAAGTAACCAAGGCTGGTGAGCTTGGGGTGAAAAAGTACACAGCAGAGATTCACTGATTGATGAAAGTGACGCGAGGTTTCTACTAGTACACGGCAGTAGCTGACAAAAATTAAACTAAACAAACAACCAAAGTATCAACAGAAAAGTCTTGAAGTCTACAAGTAGTGACGGATGAGGAGTCTAAGGAATGTTCTCAGTCTGTTATTAAAATAAATGAAAGCTTTGATTCAGGACTTCTTCTTTCAGTTGTGACTGAAGGAGACAACTAAATCTGTTGCAGCTTCCGGTTTAATCTAAGGTTGTAGAAACTTGGACGGGGCGAAAAAGCAACAAAAAAGTTTAAAAGACGCAAGAATAACAATCACGAGTTACTTATGAGGTTAACGAAGGAAGTAAATTTTGGTTTTATCAACTGAGTCAGTAATATAATCTGAGATGGTCTTCATAAGTGTCTAAAGCTAACGCTTCCGGCATCAGCCTCTCCATGGTCAGTCCTTCGCCCTGAAGAAAGCCTAACGTGGCCAATGTATATTAACAACTCAGCCTGGTTGATAAAATAGAATAGAATCTTTCTCCATTAACGAGTAGGTAGAAACCATTTTAGTCACAACTGTCTCCACGTTAAAGGGTTTCTAAGGGGAAATATCACACTACAGCCTCTTGACTCAGTTCAGAAAGCTCGAATATATTGGTCACCTGTAAATCAGCAGCAGGACAATATATGATAAAGCATGAATGAAGCCTCCGTCAATATTTTTGTAAGCTTAACTTTAAGGACCTAACTTTTAATTTTGAACCGCCAAATGAAGCTTACACGATCAATGTCTCCGTAGAACCGATCAGAAAATGACTTAATGGCATCTCTTGTGGAGTCAAATTCCGTCTTGGCTGCTATTAGGGCCTCTTTGTTCCTTCCTGATTCCCTCATTAGTGATTCCTATCGATGCAGACAAATAATAAAACACGCTATAGAGTCGATATGTTACCGTCAGCATTATAAACGATCGGGGCCCAGGTGTTCAAAGGGTCTGCATTACTTCCTACACGATTGAAACACAGTAGTGGTGTAAATCGAAATCGCGCAAGGTCTCTTGGGCAGAGAGGGCACCGGAATGGAAAGAGATATCGTTTGTCAAAAGTTAAATGAGACCTGCCAATCAGTCTTATACGTCGACGTTTTGATACGCAGATGTTAAAAATTTACGAGATGAAATCGGAAGCTCTCCCTCCTTGCCCAACCGTACCACTTGAGAGAGCTCGCTTACCAAGCTTGCAGGCCAATTCACTATTGTCAGGCTTGTCGGTCGGACTGTCGATCCGTATTGTAATTGAATGGTTAGCAAGTCTGAGACGTAAGAGAACTGGTTCTGGTTCAGTTGAAACTAGGACCAGTCTCCTTCTTTCATGAGTGCCTTTGAAAGCTTATAAGTTTGCAAATGATGGATTTGAATGATTGAATGATTTCCCATCCCTCTGGAGTTAGAAACGCAAGCAGGCTAAAGAAAGTGTGTTTGACCATCATGTTACAGCACAGCTAATGAGTAAGAGGCACCTACAAACTGATTTCCCAAGGCTAGCGTTTTTTAAAATTAAGGAGGGGGAGGGGAAGGGTGATTTTTGATTAGGATACAGCAATGGACGAAAAAAAAAACAAAAACAAAAAAACACTAGCCAAAACAAAAACAAAACAAAACAACGGAAACAAGCAAACAATCATGCATTCAGAAATTCTTACCGCTTCTGCATAAAGAGATGAGAGGTTTGCTTGCAGCTCCTCAATTTTTTCGAAATATGGAGACAAGTTCATAGCAAACGTTGTCTTTCGCTCATTTTTGAATGAGTTTTCCTCTTCTTTTTTCTGTTGGCCTGTGCTGGGTGACGTCGTACCTTGATGATTAAAACGGTGAAATTCTTTGTTATTAGACCGGTGAATATCATATGTAACAAAGCATATTCAGGAACGAATTGATGCTCACAGATATACCTCAGTTAGGTAAAACAGACCAAAAGGGAGAGATTGTATCCATGCCTGTCGGTGAGCCACCACAACTAACTGAGCTACGAAACCAAGTATTGAGATCGAAGTAGTATCCTAAGTTCTTTCAGCATAGAGGCCCTAACTCTTTCCCTCAATTAAAATGAAGTTCTGTGAGGATCATTATTATCCAATTGCACAAAGTAAAGTGCAAATAACGCGCAAATAGAGTAAAAATATCCTTCGATATTGTACGGTCATTTAGAACGTTGTTTATTTTGTACTGTCAAAAGTTGTTTAACCAGTCGGCTGCGCGCGCTACGTTTCTCTATCCGCTTTGCTTTTCCCGCCATATGAGAAACGAACAGAAAGACTTAGCAGAAAAAAAAGCAGCTGGATAATAAATGACTTATTAGACGTTTTGATGTTTTTTTTTTGTAGTTTTGCTGAGTATATTTTTACTCGTTGTTTGTATTTTGACTCGTCCTTCAGGCTCGTCAAAATACGACACAACTCGAAGAAATACTCAACGATACTACACACTAAAACGTCGAATAAAATATGTTTACTTCACATATCATGATCATTCATGGCTAAAAGATATGTAGTTTAAATTATGTATGTAATAGCGACCAAATAGACTATGCTTAATTCATTGTGCGGGGCATATTGTTGCTTGTCTATAACTTAGGTTAATACAATGATCCATAACATTCCATGGTAATTCACTCGATGAGGTCAGTGAATTGCAAGGCTTCGTTTCGCGTCACAGGAGTTGATAGCTTGAAAGGACTTCAAAGTGAGTCGCGGAATAGGAAATTGACAAATGATATTCGACTTAAATTTAAGTTTATCTCGACATGTCTGGTCTTAGTGCTGAAGAGGCAATGCAATACAGGCTCTTTAACTTTTGGTGAATCATGTTAAACTGGATATCTTATCTTGAAACGAAAAAAACTGTCGCTTTCCTGTTAAGCACAGTCAAATAATTTATTCTAAATGACGTACATTGAATGAAATATATGAATACATATATATATATATATACATATGTAGAGAGAGAGAGGAAGTCTATTTTTCGGTTTTTCCGTATTACAGTGCTCAATACATACTATAGCGAATATATATTTGCTTTGGTTTTTTCCTAACTCAATTCACACACACACACATATATATATATATATATTTTGTATATTTTATTAGAAAATTACATATTAATATATTTATATGGAATTTTCTGCAGCTTACATATATAGATTTCGCGACTGTGTTATCGCGGAGAAGTGGCATATGAGGCAAAGTGAATGAATGACTTCGTAAAATATCTGCAGTCGTGGCAACGTGCACGGATAGTGCTTAAAATTGCGACTACAAAACTTTGTGTACCTTCGACTCGTAGTGCATTGGGACAGAACTCAAATATTTGTGGTGGTACATTGTCTGATTTTCATTATCCTCCCCATCGAAGGTTTCAACAGATTCTATATTTCATCGTAACAAGGCATACGAAAAGATATAACTATTTCGAGAATGATGCATCATCGGTAAGGAACGAAAAGTATTTCCAATGAGCTTTAGGCGAATAACTGCTTATACCAAATGAAACGCTTAGATTTCAATATTAATAATGGTGTATTGAGCGAATTAGTAAAGATTTACTTTTAACAGTTTGTATAGATTGCCATAGGCACTCATTTTTGGCTACACCCATCTATAAAAATAGTTTGCATAAATCAAATATGAGCTGAATTCCTGCATCTGTGGGTTGAGTTGATCATACTTCCTCGCAGAGATAGGAAACTTATCCTAAGTTCCAAAATGTTAATCAACAAAACAAGTAGCTCACCTGGATAAACTCCTACAACTCCACGGATCATTAAAATGACTATCACCAATGCGGAAATAGAGAGAAATAGCACAAGGTACTGAACAATGCGATGAATGCACAGCTTACTGCAGCGTGTATTTTTGTTATGATCGTGATTAGAAACCGATGTTAAGGATCTGTTTTGCAGTTTCTTTGCTGTTTTCTGGCGATGTTTCTTTGGTTTAGCGTTAGAATTTCCTGGTTTAAGATTTGCTGTCTGTTTTAGAGCAACATATGAGCTGTCAAAGCTAAGGCGATGTCTTGTATCGGATGGTGTGTATAACTTCGATTCGTGAATATCTTCAATTGATGTAGAGCGACCAGCCATCAGAAGCAAGCGTATCAAGAACTTTTCAATGAAATTGGATCGTTGACGGCAATTGCATATGCAAGGCTGCTTGCCTTTAGTCAAGAGGTGACGTGGATTGTTACCACGGGAGAAGTATCTACCCTTAGTACACGTGGAATATATTTTGGTCTTGATAAATTAAATACTGGCTTTCGTTATGCAAAGTTGGACAAGTAAAGAATGCAAAACGCGCCAAAAGAGCTAAAAGCTGTTTGGCAAACACGACCACAGGAATTTAAAACAACGAACAGGCCTTAGAGGGTTCATTGTTTCGAATAAGTGTATATTTTCATGACAAATTAATCTGCACTCAATGTTCTGCAAATAAATAAAAAACGAAAGCTTGAAATACACTCATGTATGATTTGTCTTCGCTAAAACTGATGAAGACAACCAAGATTTCCACTTTCTTAAGAAAGATCTAGAAACAAAGAACACTCTGAGTGAAAGACCTTGGAACAAAGACAAATAAATTCTATGCATCATATGATCGAGAATGATTTTCAATAATTAAGTTTTGATATGTTCGTTGTGATCGAACCTGTGAAGTTTGTGTGCAGCCTTCGTGTGCTGCGCTGAAATATTCTGTAAATTATAGATTTCTTTGTTTCTTGTTTTTGGCGCTTGTTTTGTTTTGATTTCCCTTTTTTAATTTTTGTGGTTAGCTTTATTGGCTATTAATAGAACACGTAGACACTTTTGTTTCCATTGGGTTTTCTGCAAATTCAGGACAATCGTTAAGGGCTATGACGTATCATAAAGGGTCGCCGCTGCCTTCAGTGTTCAACCTTAACTAACAGATGAAATGACCATCACAGCCATACGCTCCACTTTTCAGGGGGCGAATGGAGAGTTGAAATCACCACACTGACATTGTGTACTGAAAAAATCTGCCACGACCTGCTAAATTAGTTAATAGATGCTTGATGAATTATGGATTACACCTCAACAACGCACAAAAATTCTGAAACTGACTTCATTCATATCCCACCAAAGTATCGTTGACATATCGCGAAGTAACGGATAGCGAGTTCACAAAAACTACATTTTTCAAGTTAATTTTATCACTTCTACAAATTGACTGAAGTATTTTCTTTTTAACTTGGAATCTATCCTACAGAGCGAACACTGAATACATTATTTGGATTTTTGATAAAATGATTACGTTATAAACAGAGATAAGGTCTTTTTACAGTTCCACCGTATGTACGTGTACGACAAAATCCAGTCAGCTTAAAGTTGTTGTGTTAAATACGGAGAAAAAAAATGACTGGGCGAACTAAATTTGTTTCATATCATCGGAATTCCGTAGGCATACGAGTTTCGATCAGTCACGGGGAGTACCGAAACTGCCAAATAAGCGAAACCAAAAAAATTTCCTCTCAAAAAAAAAATTCAGCAGGCGTAAAAATACGATGGCTCAAGTTTCATATTCTGATATTGAGAGCGAGAGATTTCTAAACCAAAGTTTGCCTCTTGCTTTTCAAAGTGGTTTTAAATAATGAGTGAATTTGCATTATTTCACCCTAAACCCTAAATAACTTCTGAATGTGCGGCACTGTGTTGATTAAACCGAGTTTTTAACACTATGAATTACGTTTCTTACGAGACTTACCGGTACCTGTAGAATCACACGAACAATTTGGACCAATTTTCCCCATGAACAGCAGAAGTGCCAATAATAATGCTGCCGCAGCAACGAAAATAATGAGACACATCACAGTCAAGCGAATAATTTTGTCCTTTCTTCGTACACTCTGTCTCTTTTGCAAAGTTTGTTGTGAAGTTGCGGCCTTCTCCTGTCTGCTTTGTAAATTCGCGCCGGGTTTAACTTTGTCGTAAATCGGCTCCTTTACACGTAATCTTGGAGTCACTGCAATATTTGTGTCCCGTTGTAAAGTGTTGTAAAGGCTGTTCGAGTCGGCTTCGCTATACAAAGAATTGGAGATTGTGTTCAAACTTGTGTTGCTTCTTCGGTGAAGGCTCATGGTACTCGCCGCGAAGCCAGGATTGAGAAGCCCGTTTTCGTAGGCCATCTTCGAAACAAGAATTGAAACTCTAGAAAATACCTCAAAGAGGCTCCAAGCTTTGACTAATTCCCTTAAGTGGAGAAATTTACTTCACAGCATGCAAAGTCACAAGACATCAGTCATTAATTTTCATTTGCATGAGTCAAGCTTGTTTATTAGTTTCACGATTCACTGAACAAATATGCAAAGTCTCTTAAAGATATTGTGCAGCAATAATAGTGCACGCGAAAATGTGATTGGTTAAGAAATGTTTACTAGGGTTTAACCCCTTGACTTGAGAAGTCCGCATTCATGTTAAAAGTAAATAAAAACAAGACAGGCTGTATCGAACGGCAGATTTTAGGATTATTTTATTTGCTTTTTTGGCAGACGGCAATTCAAGTTTATTTCAAATATGCGCAATCACTTAGTCCATTTCATGTCCCAGGGTTTTTTTTCGTCATTTAATTTAGACTCACCATTGTTTTAAGAGGCTTTGTGTTCTTATGTTTCGAGAGGAAATTCATTTTTCCAAGTGCCGTTTTGCGTAGACTAAAGTTAGCTGAAAGCACAATGCAAACACTAGGAAATTTCAGATCTGCAAATTCAGGGTCGGTAACATTTTAATTCTTGTTGTATTTATGGAAACTTACATTCACGCTTGACTCCTACTTCTGAAAAGTCGGTTGCAGGGTTTTTTTTTTACAGATTCGAATGCTTTCTAAAACCATCGAAAGGCACTAAAACGCGGAATACCAGACCACACTGGAATTACAGAACACGCCTAAACACAGTAGTCAGAGGACCGGAACATACCGCCATACCGGTATAAGCGAAATACTCGAAGATGAAAAAATAAGTAAATAAACAGCGTAAATCAATGCAAAAAGAAAAAGAAAAAAAAGTAGAGCTCAATTTTAATGCAGTACCCGCTTTTCGTGCGTCCTGTCCGTGTTCCTGCGTATTCCGGGTTCCCGGTTTCAGTATGTACTAACTCTCTGATAGCGATTTTCATTATGTAAAACCTTCGCTTCCACACCGGAAGACTTGGAATGATTCTAACCCCTTAAAACGGATTTATGCTCGTTTCCAGCGAAAGACAACAGAGAAGATACATGAAGCCGCCATTTTGTTTCAGTGAGTTTGTTTAGAGAAAAATTATTTGGTTGCGAAGGAAGTATGACGTGAGCACTTCAACCTCAAGCGATGTCGTATTTCCTTAAATGGGCGTTTGCTTAAATGGGTGTTACATAAGAAACACGCGACCAACTTACACACTTCCGTTCCCTTTCGTTCCTAACATGGTCAGACATCGCGAAAACGCCAAGCAAGCCGGTGATGTAACCAGCTGGTCAATCATTATTTTTCTTAGCTTACAAGAAATATGAAATCTTTGAACATTAATATTGTAAAGACTCTTTTACGACCGTCGGCTGACTTCAGACGTTCAAGCAAAAGGCAGCTGATGGCTTAGCGAAAGTCTATCAATTACTTCTGACCAGCATTTTCACTGGTAGCAAACCGAGTCTACAAAATGGTAACCGATAGTCAACTGACAGTCTAGCGAAAAGTAGACGAAAGTAACAGCTTACGAAAGGCAATCAAGATTGTCGCCGAAATACCATCAATAGCCGGCCGAAAGCTAAAACAATACAAAGAAACAATATGTAATAAAGAGAATAAGTTTCTAAAGAAACTGTGGTGCTGCGTCGGTGGGAAAGTATAACAAGGTAATTTGGTATTACCAACTTATTTGATAACGTAAATTGGCCACCGTAAAGAGTTTAAAAGCTGACGTTTCGAGCATTAGCCCTTCAACAGAGCGAATGCAAAACCACCAATATCCTGTTCCTCTCGACAAAAGGAACATGTCAACCTTGTTTTAATGCCGGTGGGACAATGGAAAAATAAGGTTCCCTGGGGATGATTCAAACTCCGCCAAAGGACCTGTTTCTTGCCCGGGAGCCGACGACCCGGAAAGCTTTTTGTCTTTGGCATGTTTCTTTTCAACATAGAGATATAATATTAAACAATCTTGAAAGTCGAATGCAAATATCAGGAAGAATAAACAAAAATGATCGGTTTTTTGACTTAACACCCGCTAATCCTTTTCACAAGTATAGAATTTAATGTATTGCCGCAATTTCAAAAAGTTAATGAGGCTCATTATAGAAACGGGTCACAATTCTGCTTCCGCAACAGTAAATCGGAAACACTTTTAGTTTACATTCCCCTTTTTCTTATTTCTAATCCTTTTATGTTTTTATTTCTACCTCGTTTTCCTTAAGTTCTTCTATTTTTATTATCGCTATTTCGGATTCACTCTCCTGTTGCTCCAGTTCTCTTTTCCTTGACTCATACACATCTATCGTATATGCGTCAGGTGTCAACTTGGTCTCCTTCAACTCTCGCCAAACTTTTTCTAACAATTCTAAACTCGGCGCGTTTCGAAGACGATGGCCAAACGCAATCATATCCATGCGTTCCTTTGACATCATCTTACAGCCATCAGTCAAACAAAGATCAGTCGCTTCTTCAGCTTCAAAATCAGGGAAAAATATCAAACCTGAGTACTGGGCTAACACGTCTAAAGAAACTTGAAACTCGGGCAACTTTTTGTCGAAGTCCACCGGTTCGTTAGGAATGACGAAAGCTCCTAGAGCTGATTGCTTGTTTCCGTCTTCGGCCAAAATAACTTTGTATAAATGAGTTGGCACTGCAACATTATTAGCACCAATAACCTAAGGATCAACATTAAAAAAAAAGTTATGTTTTTGTGGTAGATATTATAACGAAACCCAACAAGCTGAGGAAAATTGGTCATCGTACGTCTTAACAAAACACAACATTACAGCACAGAGCAGGATAAATTTTCGAAACTGGTAGAAATTCAAATCAGAAACTTATCCGTTAAGGATAAAACAGTATTTAATATGCTGTGCAATTCTTACGCCCGTTTCAAAATGCTAAAATTCCAAGATGGCAGACAGCAGGAGATTCACTTCTTGCCTTTTGCCTTAGTTTATACCAGGTCACTCGAAATACTCTTGACACTTTCGTTGTTTTCCAAAAGGAAGTAGAGTATCTTCTTTCCATCTATACTTACAAGCTGGCGATCGTTATTCCGGTCGGTCATGTTTGATTTAGAGTTAGAATGGACAGCATAAGTAGCAGGAGGGGAAATTCCAGAATTTCAATCACCCCACCCCACCTCCTCCTTTCCTTACGCTGTCCACCCACCCCCTTGGTACAAATTTCTTCCTCTCCTCAGCCTTCCGCCGCTGTAATAATCAAATATGGCGGCGATAATTTTCACCCAGAAAATACCGAGCACATGCTCAACAAAATCACACCTACACTGCAGGCTACTCTCCAATGCAAATGAATACCTTATGGGAGTGGAAATAAAATATCTATCATTGAAGAAGAGCTCTTTACCTCATATTGCATCATCTTCTTCCCATCCTGTTCTTTTGGCAAGTAAAGTGGTCCTGACACTATGTACACATCTGAGTATCTTTTTGTTAAACCCCTGCAGTAAGCTTCTAGTCTGTACCAATAGTTAGCATTGTTATCCAGATTTTGTGGCACAATGTTGGACAAGAGGAACATTGCATTCATTGCATCTTGGTCATATTTGTTGTCACCTTGAAGAATTGAAGAGAATTATCTGTTAACCCTTTCATTCCCTTGATCTCATTAGTTATTCTCCTTACTGTCTGTCATACAATTCTTGTGGTGTTAGTTTGAAGAATTTGGTATTGGATCAATTAATAAATTCCCTACTTGATATTTTTCATTATTCTCATCACTTTTCTCATTACTTGTCTGCTAGATATTATAAGGAGAAATTCTCTCTTCATCACTTGTGGTAGTTAAAGAGTTGAGTATCTTCACATTAAAATTTCCTTTTTAAGACTTTTTGTGCAGTTCAATTCAGGGATAGTAACCTCATTAAAATATTTGCAATTGGACACACAATTAAAAGCAGTGGCAAAAATAGAGCCTGAGAACAATTTCAGGCTTGAACAGGAATTTAAAACATAACTGCCCTGCAACAATGATATTGCTCCAACAAATTTAGCTAAGAAAACAAACTAGGAGTCGAGAGATTAGAGCAGAACACTTGTATCTAATTTAACAAAGTGTTCCCCCACTGCTAATGCAAAACAGTTATCAGATGAAATCCCTCTCAATCCTAAATTGATTTCAGGCTCCATTTTAACTGATTAAATTGATACTGCCGTTACACAGTTTAAATATAAAGTTTTCATTTATCCTCTTTGAAAAGAAGGTATCAGCTCAGGGGTATTAGAAAGTCCAGAGAAGAAATGCTTACTCTTTGCATGTACATTAGCCTGATGCCAATCTTCACTTAAGCATCATTTGTTAGATAGGGGCAAAGAAATGGAGAGGGGATTGCACCATGAGAGAGAAGTCAGGCTTAGTTCAAGAAAACAGAGTGCGGATATGCAATATTTTCAATTGCTTCTCCAAGCACTTAAAGAGCACAGTGTAAGATAGCATGATATCCTTTCCCTTGACTGCAGAGTATGTTTGATCTAAGAATAATTTTTTCCTCACTGGAGAATTGTCTTTGCACATGCAAGATCACATTGAGTTCTGTCATACTCTGCAGACTGTACCCTTCCCTTGTAATGTAAGAATTCCCTTCTTGGCGCATGTAATTGAGACCTCATTCTCACCTAAATATTTCTGCAACTCTGTAATTTTTTGTTTGATGTGTCGTCATTTTGACAACCTTGCCTACCTGAAAAATTCTCTTACGTTAAGCAGTCAAACGTACAATATTGAAAGTGAAACCACATATGTACAATCTTGTACATGTACATGCAGTTGGTGGGATGCCCTTGGGAATAGAGAGACTCTCTGGATCCCTTCAACAGAGATTTCCCATCAGGAAAGAAGAACTGGGTTAGACAGAAGATTTTTCACTTTGAATAGCAGGGGTACCCTTAGAATATTGTTGTCCTAAACGTGTACTCACTTGCGGGAGCCATGTGCCCTCTTGACCATCCACTGTCCCAGTAGTCATCATTATTTGACTGAAAAATAGCTGGAATGTTCGGATCAGGTTTAAAAACCGAGTATATCCTATTCGCCTCGCCTTTAACTTTCTCACGTGTCAAATGTTCTAGTACCCATCTCGGTGTCTTCTTCACTTGATCGTAACACAAAACGTGATTTTTATATTGCAGATAGTCCGATGACCTCCGTGGGAGGCCATATTTGAACATTTTCTCGTCTCCAGTGTCGAAAACTTCATACCTTGAACTGTCTACTTGGTACACCTCTAGCCCCTTGTTGGATGCTCCTCGAAGACTAACTGTGCGAAGATGGTGTCCACGTTTGAGGTTATCATGTCTAGCTGTAATATCCTCGATTTCTTTCTTAGTAGTAGTATTACCATCTGCTGTATCCGAAGTCTCGTAATAAATCTTTACCAAGCCAGCACCGATAATTACTCCTGTAACAACGTTTCCAATGCCTTTGAACTGCAACCGAAGTTTCGTCATCCAAGAAGCCATCTTGAGAACCTTCTTTCTGACAAGAGACTGGGTCGAAAGGATCCATCGCGGGCTCAATTCTTCGTTGAGCGCCTGTTTGAAACCGTCGCGCTAGTTTGATGAGGAACATGTATTTTGGTTCAAATTTGGTAGAAATTTGCTCAGATATCGTTTTTGATGGTGTAGAAAGGTCTTAGAGAAGTAATGTTTGATGCGGATGAGCCAATTTCAGATTACCAAAAAGTTATTCGAGGTATGTATCTCAATAAAGGTGTACAGGAAGGCTGTGACTAAGCTCAGTTGTCTATCTCAATTACCTGTACAGAGGGTCTGCATATTTCAGTCGGTTTAGACTGACCATTTCTTAAGGGCTGAGTTTGCAAAGGTTTGTTACACAGCTCTTATATTATGTGTATCAATATTGTTTTTTCTCTCTTGCAGAGCGAGCATCTCAAAGCCTCGGACCTCTCAGATATGCGTTGAATTCTCCTGTTAAATCACCTGGCTCCAGGAAGTATAAAGGCGATTCCTACAGCTCAGCAGGTAGTATTGATGAAAGTGTATGAATACTTAAGGATTTCTTGGGGATGTGGGTTATGGTGGCCGCACAGAATGCACTAGTACAAAATAAAATTACCTCAGAAGACTTCCTCAAAACACCGGCTAGTAATATAATTTACTGTATTGATGGCTATCTGAACTTCTGTTGTGTTGTCTCTGCTCATCTAGTGGTTCCAACTTTCCATTGAAAAATTACATCTTTCTCTTTGAGTTGATTTTTTGTGTAGAAGTATGCACACATTCATATCCAACTTAATTGTCACCATGCACTCCTTCCTCACACTTTTCCTCCTTGTCACAATGTATTGTTTTTTGTTGTTGTATGATTTTTATCAAGAAGTTCACTGTCAACAGTGTTTCAGGTATGTCAGCCCTGTTTAAAGCAACAACACAAAAATTACCTATATCGACACTCAATTGTAATTTAAGCATTTAAATGACAAAAACAACAACGACAAACTTTATTTAACTTAGCAATTTAAATACATATCTAGCTTTCCCTACTCACAAATAGAGAAGTGTAACAACTGTGAACCAGAAGCAATCAAACCCAAAGCTGTGTGGGATGTGTACGTGTATTTAATATGTAATTATTAATTTTACATTCTTTTTGCAATTTTTTTTTGGGATGATTCTTTAATTTTAGGAAATTTAGGAAAGGACAGATAGCTTCATTCATTCACCACTTTCAACTCTTTGGGGTTTCAATGTATATACCCATTAATTATACTCATGATTCACTGTTAATACTTTTTAGTGTCTGGTTTTTTTACAGTCAAGTGAATGAAACAAAGACATGTTATACATTGCTTAAGTTTGTTTATGGAAGGTACCCCAAGGAATATGTGGCCAAAAGTTTAGAGTTTTATAACTTTTTGAAGTGTGCTACATGTAAGTTTCATCAAACTTTTGTGTTCAAGAGTGGCCATAATTTCCTTTGCTATGTTCATATTATAGTCACAAGGCTAAAGACTTTGCTTCAGCAGTACAATGACTCACAGATTTTGGAGCCAAGAGCTGCAGCTACTTCTCAGTCAGTAAGTGATTCAATTTCATGTTTATTCTTTAAAATTATTTGCTATTTGCCAATGGACAAATGAATATCCAGTGAAACAACAAAAATAAAAGGTAGGAAGGCTTAGAAATAATTAACATTAGATCTCCTTCAAACATTCACAGATTGGAGCAGTACCAGACAGGAGCCATTTGCCCAACACAGATGAAGTAACACAGCTTTTGAACAACCAGTTCACTGTATTACAATACCTTGAGGGCCAAGTTGAGTTCTACAAGGTGAGGTTACTGCTTTTAACCTTGATCAATGTAAAGTTAATAAGAGTCAATTGTATAATTGTTCTTATGGGGGAAGTCCAGAATGGAAGTGTTGTATGGAACACTGACTTGGCAGCCTAAGTACTCTGTACCCTAAAGCAATTCTTGAATGAGGTTGAGCATGATATCATGGATTATCAACAACTAGGTCTCAGTTATCTGCCATAGGCTCAATAGGCAAATAACTCGGACGTGAAGTTTGATATTAAATAAACAATAGCCTCCCCTTGGTGTAAAAATACACAGATATTGTCTGCAGACATTACCTGTTCCAAGATGTGACCAGTTTTCTGAGAGGGAAGTTCTAGGAAAACTGTGAGTTTCAGGGGACAGATAATGCTTTAAGACAAATATCTGTGCAGATTTCACAGCAAATAGTCCCAGGCTATTGTGTTTATTATCCTTCAAAGATTTTTTACAAAGTGCAGTAAAAATACTTTTGAACAGCTCACAGTTTGCTTACTTTCAGTATTCTTTGGTACGACTATGAAAAAACAAAGAATTTTCCCTTCTTCTGTGATGATAGCTAAATGCTCTTCCATTTTTAAGTTTAAACAATGCTTTCATCATAGTGGATATAAAGTTTGAAAATTAGAGAATTTCACTGGAGGTATATCCTCAGATATTCCCCAGTTTTAGCTGGCGATTATTTGAGAATGTGATGCGTATTGACCAATTATGCTCAAGCAAAAATATTTGATGGATTATAATTCATGATATCATGAGAAAATAGAATTGAATAATTTTCTAATTGCACACTCTTTCATCAATCTACAAAAAAGACACTTCTGATTTTATAAAAGTTTAAGAACACTACACAGATAAAGGCTTGGAAACCAGACAGACTTTGAACTTGACATGATAAATACAATATCTGCTGCAGAAATCATGACTGTTAACTTTACACACTATTGAATACTAATTAAATGCTCTTAACCACTCGTGTATAATGATCACAGTTATATGAAGCTTAAAAATCATTATTGAAACCATTCAACACAGTTGACTTTTCATTGTTTCCCTTTGCCATAATTATAGGATGCCCTGGAGTCTCTAAAACAAAGAGCAGAACTTGTGATTACAGAAAATGAAAATCTGTTTGATCAGCTCAAGACTCAAGCCATTTCCCAAGTGCTATCAACAGGAGAACAAAGCAAGTCTGAGGTAACAAGTGACACGCTAACTGCAAATGTTTTGCATACCTTGCCAAAAGGTCAAAAGGTTAATTCTGCACCTACAAAGTTCAGAAGCTTTCCCCTGGCTTTGTAGCAATTGGAGTGAGCAGAAGTATTATGTTACTATACCCCTAGATGGGATACTAATCCACCATAGGTTGCCCCCTCACTTCCCCCCTACATCTTGTCAGGTTTCCTGACAGCTCTCCAGTATGAGCGAAGGGAGGGATTGTAAGTTAAGAGTGTCTTGCACAAGAACCCAACACAATGAGTCACACAGATGCTGAACCTTGATCTTTCCACATGCAGTCTAGTTGGCTGAACTTAAGGGTCATGGTGTCTAATACTAAAAATGATTTTTATGAATTTTTTCCAGAAAGGCTCTCTCATGCAAGCCTGATTAGGAAGAAGAGCTGTCAAAGCATTATGGTTTTCAATTATTAGCTTGACTCTTTTAACAATAGTGATCCTATATCATTATGAAATATTGATTTCAGTTCATAACCATAATTCACAAGAAACAGGCATCTTTTACTTTATGATTTTTCGTTACAATGTACCTACATGTATTTGATGCCTTATCAAATCTAAATGTCTTGTCGCTTAAATTATATGGATCAGTTGTCACTGATCACTCAATACTTTATTTAATGTTATTTATTGCCCTCTGCTTAGGAACAATTTCCATCAGGCCCCACATTGGGGATCCAAAACAAAGGTTGGGTAGGTCACAGACAGAAGACAGCACCATTAGTGGTGATGGAGATGATGATGAGGTGAGGCAAGGGCAAGGCACCTTGCCAACTGTGCTTCATGAACACAGCAAAGCACAGCCAGTGAGGGGCTTGAAGAAAATGGACAGGGAAACTATGAGAACAAAGGAACTTGGTTTACATGATATAGTGCCAAGTGAAAGGGATCCCAGAAAATCCTTAATGCCATCTGTCATGCAAAGATCAGCACTTGAATCTTCCTTTGGAATTAGTAACCTTGATTCCCAGGTAATTGTTCTGATGTAGTTTTGTATGGTCCAATCACCTACACATGTTTACGCACAGACATTAGAAATGTTCTATTACTTTTGTGCCAATTATTATTAAATGACACTGACTATAAAAAACCTGGCATCTAATTTTTACTTAAAATATCACCTTAAATCACACATTAAGTTTGCAAGAATAAAGGAAATGATCACCAACTATAAAATCTCTTGAATGTGGAAAAAATTCTCTCTGTTAGCACCTAAGTAAATTTTTAGAGAACAGTATTGAGATTATGCTTACTGATATAGAGTGTAAAGGATCTAATTATTTTTATAAAACCTGTAATATAATTTTTATAGTGAGAAGATATTGTAAGGAGAAAGTATGTCAAGCATTTAAATTGTTGATTGAGTAATCCAAACTGCTTGTTTTTTGCAAAAGTATGGAATCTTTTGGGCTGTACATGGTGCATTCTATAGTAACATGATTTTCATGCACCAATGGATTCATCACCTCTTTCGTAAAACTTTGTAAACTTTATAATTATACCACTTGAAAGGATTGCAGACCTTCCACTTATCTTCCACTTGATATTCACTAAAGTCAAACTCAACTTACAGCTGTACAATGTTCACAGGAGAAAAAGATTTTAATGGTGACATATTCAAATCAATTTGTAGATTATTTTATATTTTTCCTGTGAAGGTATTCTTTGTTTATGAAAAAGATACAGTTTACAAGCAATTATTTACAGTATTAAATCTGTTTTCACAATTTCAAGTTCTGCTAAATTGTACACCATTTACACACATCCATTTTCAAGTTCATGTCACCACTGAAATAATTATTTTACATCTTGACAGTTATTTATGTCTGCCAATGAAAGAAAATTTGTTAACCAGCTTGAAGAAGAGGTGGTAAGTGCTTTTAAACATAGCACTCTCACAGTAATGTAGCTTTTGCTCCATTATATGCTAAGGACGTAGCTTTTAGGCTCCCTATCACTTTTTAGTACAAATCTACCAATATTCTATCCCAAACAATCTTATTGGCTGTGCTACCTATCCCAACTGCTACAATCTGATTGGCTGTGCTACCTATTCTGTGGTAAATGGTAAGAAAGGGAGTGCTCTAAGTAACAGTGTGGGGTCTTAAAGTAAAATAAAGATGTGAGTCTTTTGTGTTGATAAGTTTTGAACAACTGGTACAGTATGTTAAACAATTACTCTTTGAGCACGCATTGAATACGAGATGGTAAATAGCCAGTAAGGTGTATAATATTGAGTTGGCTAATATCCAAATAGCCTGAATAGAGTAATTGCTTTATTAAATTTCATTAAATCCTGAACGTTTGGATATTTGAAGCATTTTTCAGCTCCACAACAGTTGGTGCAACACTTTCCCTTATATTGATGAGGCTAATTTCTCATCAACTTACAGCTGTACATTTATCAGGGGATAGCAATCTCAAGTTAATAATCCATTTGTTAAATACCACATTAGGCTTCCAAGAGTTTTATTCCCTTTTTGAAATAGAATTTACCCTCAAATTACCCACCCACTCTGTACAGTTTACGTTATTGGTTTCTATGATTAAGCAAACTGTTGCAGAATTGAACGTATATTCACTGCTTTGTCATTTACAGGAGAAAATCCGGAAACTGCATGAAGCAAAGACAAGACATCTGGAGTCTCTTCTTTATTCAACAAGGTGATGTCGCGTTCCAACTGAGTAACAACTTTCTCACCTTACCATCTTGATTTTATTTTGTGTGTTTGTTACAGTTGTTCTTACCATGATGTTAATCCTTTATTAAATATTCTCCTTGACATGGGATGTTAGTGAATTATCCAGCTGTTCTGAGTGAAAAATAAGCTCTTTTTCATGGGTCTCTCTGAGTGGACAGACATTAGAGTGTATTTTCACACCTAATAGAGGCCTTTCTTCTTAATTTAGACATGCTACAGCCTCTATGAGATATCGCTGATGAGTTTGTGTAGCTTGATCTAACAATGAACTTCTGCTTCGTTTTGTCATCATGCTCTTTGGCACTGGTTGCCCGACTTTAATGGGGCCATCTCAACCTTTTTTCTTTTCTTTTCTAATTTTAATTTTTTTAGAGATGAACTTGAAGACTACCAGAGGCAGTTATCAGAGCTGCAAGCAAAATTAAGGTCAGTGAGAATGAGATAACAAACTACAATTATATGTTGTTTTTGTTACTTAAAAGAGTAAAGTATAAAGTAGTACACTTCTACATGTTAATGCCAAGTTCTACTTGATGTTCCTGTCATTTTTTTCGAAATTATTAATTTCCATATATTAATTTTACCTGTCTTGCAGAGCTCAAAAAGTATTAGAGGATCAGGTAAGACAGTTGCACGGTTATGTCGTTGTTTATGAGTTAGAGATTATTGATTTGTCAAATTTGGGAGTTTTTTTGTTGTTTTTGGCATGGTTTGTCTTTTGGTTCTGGTTTATGGTATTGTGGGGCTTTTATTGCCTTAAAAATTTGCTATGGACAGTTTTCGTCAAGATAGTTCTTATTTGATGTTGCAAAGGGAAAAAATACTCTTGAATACACTAGAAAGAAATCTTAGTTAATAAGTAATGTTTTGCGAGTGTGAAATCGAAGGTGTACGAACAAGGATGATTAAAGATGGCTTTTAAAAGATGTATTGAGGATGACTTTCTCTGGATGAGCAAAGTGTTACTTAACCCTTTACTTTTATTTCTGGATATGCTTGCGAGTAATGATAAAGCATACATCTTTTGCTTATTTTATCAGAGAGGTCAACCAGCCTTGTGCGTCAAATGTGGGCATCATTCTGCCGTTTTGTCCAATACACACAGTGAAGCAGCCATAGACACAATCAATCAACTGACAAAGTAAGAATCTGAACGGGTGTATCAAGAAATACCCTGAGGCCAGGGAAGGTTTCTTAGAGTCAATATTTAAAGTGAATCTAGTACGACACACGACTAGCCGTGTTCAAAACAGGCCTTGGTAACAGCCCCCCCCTCGCCCGCCGAAATCAGAGGTTCCTCGCATGTACTTAGTGCATTGAGTGGATAAGCTTCGTTGTCTCTCATCTGCTTCATTATAGTAAACCCAATGTAACCAACATTTAAAATAAGAACTTGTAAGTTTGCTTGGTTTCGTTCTGTTATTGTTATTGTTATTTTTTTTTTGTTTTTTTCTGATGTTTTTTTTTTTTTTTTTTTTTTATATTTTTGTTTAACATCTTGCCCTGTTTTCAGAGAGAGGGATGATTTGATGAACATGTTGACAGGGCAGAAAGCCGTCTTAGCTGAGGTTCGCCAGCGGGAGTTTGAAGCTTACAACCAAGTGAAAAAGAGCTGTCATATGGTGGAACAGGCTCAGCTAGAAAAGGCAGAGGTATTGTGATGTCAACATATAACTAAATAATGAGTGTGCGTTTACAATAATTTATATTGACGTGCATCATACATGATTTTGCTGCATACATTTTGCAGCCGTTGCAAGCGCAAACGTTACACTTTGACATGAAATAGTGAGCATTGTCGCTAGAAATTGTGCAAACTGTTATCAGTCAGTGCGAAATTTGCATTTCCAATATTACACTTTCCAATATTATTTGCATTTCCAATATTAAGACAGCGAGTGGAAGTCGCCACGGCTTTTTATCGTATAAAATTTCGACCTCAACGCGGTCCTGTTAGGTAGCTGGTCACCCACGAATAATTGGAACCAAACTTAATAAAAACGATATCAAAAGGCTTCAATTGTGGTTAATTTTGGGTGTGAACTTTCGCTAGGCCATCATTCATGTTCGCCAGCTCCGAGAAGATTTGCGGAAAGAACGAGAGCGACACGAAAACAGCATGAGAATGTTCAGCGAAAAAATGGACATGGAGAGGAAAAAGGTACAAGAAGCATGTCGGGAGGAGGTCAGCGGGCTTGTTAAACAGGTGCTTTTAGAATTTTTGCGTAAATTTATATGTTAAGTAAATTTGTGTGTCTGTTTTTTTTGTTTTTGTTGCTAACTAAACATGAAAAAATATCATGGCTTCAGAGTGAATTAATCGTTTAATTTGGGGTGAAGAGCATCTGAACATCTTCGAACTACAGTACTGCTGTAACAGTAGAAAAGCTAACGAAATAACACGTTGATTTCAAAAATCACAAGACATGTGCTGCAAACGCAATCAGTAAGAAATAATTGTACCAGACATAGCGAGGTTGCGACGACTCAGGGAGGATTGAAACCTCATGTGTTCAAAAAGTGGAAGTTTGTTAGTTGGACGGTAATCGAAAGTTCAAACGCCTTTACAAACTTCATTTAGTCAGGATTGCCCCTTTAAAAGTCCGAGGCCGTACATTCGAACGGTCGTAATTGTCAATGACATAAGAAAGATGGTGAAATGAAATGAAGAAAGACGTATTTTCGTCATGTCACGGGCTTGGGACAACGAAACTTCTGAATCCCTGGAAGGAACCAGACCTCAGACCTCCAGATTCTGCGCTTCGATGCTGACCCCACTGAACAACAGAGACGCTACGGCGATTTAGGGCATCACAAAGTTCACTTGTGACCGGATACTGTTAAGATTAGCAAAGGCGAAAGAAAATGGAGAAGTGTGTCTTATTGCATAGAATTTACGTGATGGTCATCATACAACCTGGACAAGTAAACATGTGTTTTTCCGATCGAAGAAAAAAACAAACAGGCTCACACTGTTCCTTTTTTATGGTGAATATTTTCATGAACGCCGCGAGATAGCTGAGGGTAAGTTCCTTTTAAATACTTTTATGGTGCAAATTTAAAGGTATAAATGTTAATCACTCTTCCTGCGGTGTAAAAACACCTCAGGTTGTCTAAAACGTAACTTTGAACGGCTTTTTTGAAATGGGAATTTCAACGGCAATCCATGGAGGACAGAGATCACATTTTGTTCAAAAACCAGACTTCCTCACAAATAAATATTATCTCTACTAAAGAGAAATTCGTTTGAATTTCTACTCTGGCCTTATTGAGCTTAATGGCCAGTATCGGGAAACTGGGTCTAAATAGCCAGGATTTTCTTTCCCAGTCTCCTTCTGGTGTTGACAAAGTGAAAGCCGGCAGCGAGCAGAAAGGTAGGTGATGTGTTCCTCATAATGGCTAAAATGTAAAGTGATAAATGAGATTAGAGTCTATCTTTGTGTTTTTTTTTCCTTTAGTTAGCTCGAGTGTTCTTTAGATACCTGTTTGCGTTTTCTGAGAGGTTTAATTTTTATGTATTCCAGGCGAAGCGACCTGAACACCGGAAGCGAAGCCACAAGTATAGAGGCGGTTTCAAAATATCATTATCGTTGGCGGTAAGTACAGTGTATGAGCATACATTTAATAAAACATGTTCATTTAACCCGGCAATAAAATTGGAACCATAATTGCTGAAGAATCAATTGGGAATAATAGAGGATGGCTGAATTGATTGAATTGCGTAGTAACCTCTTGACGGGTCAAGAAATTTTACCGTTTCTTTATCGCCATTCTTTTGTTGACTGGTTGAATGTAACTTTTGTTGACATATTGTTTTCAGTTAAGGTTCAGCCGATGCACTGTTACAATTTGTCTGTTTACAACCATTCCTTATTTTAATTTCGTTTGGCGAGTGTAAGGTGAAACATGTTTATTTCCACCAAAGTCACATGATCTAGTTCACGCAATAAAGTTGTTTTCTTTAGCTTCATAGTCATAGGTTGGTCACGTGGTCCGAAGTGGGTGAATAACAGTGGCGGCCTTGAAAATTAACTGCAAAACGTAGAGGGTTGTCCACTATCATTGCGTTTGTAACTGCCACAATATTTCCACAAATTCGGATTTGTCTTTTCATAAATATCCTGTGGATACTAAGCTTCAGATGATAAGTATCCATGCCATATTTTTTCAACCGCTTGTGGCACAAATTTGTGTTTTAATCTGCGTGAGTAAATGGTCCGAATATAAGTTAATCTCTTCCCGATTTAAAAATTGTTGTTTTTCAGTTTCTTTTAAAAGAGATATTGACTTTCAGGATGAAATGAGATCAAAGTATAATATAAGAGTGAGATCTGGTACCAAAGTGTGCTCTGAACATTTTGAAGAGGAGGATTTCAAAAGTTCGCAGAAAGACGATTTAAGAGATTGAATCGGATGGCGCCTGTCCTTCATTGTTTTTCTGGTCAACAAGAAGTTAATTAAAAAAGAAATAGTATTTCGTTTTTAGCCATGCCTTATAATGTTAGGCATTGTTGTGACAGGCCAAACTGAATTACTTTAATATCTGGGAAAAACTCAGCGTTGACCAGAAGTTGGACATGAAAATGATAAACCTGTGCGGGATTTCTCAACAGTTCTTCACCGAAATGTGACAGTTTGAATTGCTCAGGTTGTCTTGGTCTCTTTAATTTTGAGAAAAAATTCCGACTGTCGGTTATCTAGTGATTTGAGAACCGTGACGGGCAGTTGATCTCACGCGATTTCTAAGTAATCTGAGTCAGCGTAAACCGAGCGCTAGATATGAGATTTATCAATCTCCTCGAGATCGCTTAGCAGTTACTCATCGACATATAATAATTTGGATTGCATAGGTTGTCTCGATTTCTTAAACTTTACGAAAAATGTCTAACTATCGGTCATCTAGTCATTTGAGAATCGTGACCGGCAGTCGACCTCACGCAATTTTGACGCCTCCTTACTCTGGGCCCAGAGTTAAACATGACCGAGTGTTAGATATGGCATTTATAAATCGCTTCGGGATCGCTTGGTGGTTCCTCATCGACATGTAATAGTTTGAATTATACATTCTCTCAATATGTTGCATTTTCGGAAAAATATCCGACTGCTACTCATTCAGTCATTTGAGAGCCTTGACCAGCTGCCGATCATGTAACCAGAGCGTACCAAACAAAAAAAAGAAAAAACTTCACAGCTTTCGACAAAGTATCTCTTCATTCTAACCTTAAATCATAAAATCGTCAAAATTTCCATATTACCATTTCTTTATCTTATCTTTGAAAATGAAAATTTGTCCATAAGATGTCGTCCTTTAGCTATTTTTAATTCTTGTTTACCCACTATAAACGATCACCAAGAATCATTTAATCAAACGCTGTAATTCTAGGTCAAATAATTTTTACTCGACATGAGTATGCCATCATTAGATCGAATGAAGTTTATCACCAACGGTTAGAACTAAGAGGAGACTGTTCTCAAAATTTATTTTTCTTTCCAGGGAAGATGGCGTCTGAGTGTAAAATGAGACTATAGAAAATTACAATTAACTTTCGATATCGACTGAGACTGTTCTCAAAATTTATGTACTGCCACATTGACTACCCCAAGCGGTTGGGTTGTCCTAGGAGTCGTTGGTGCAGTGTGTGTAACTGTTGCAGTAGTAACTGTTGTGGTTAAGAAGCAGCAAAAAGAAGGAAAGAGAAAACAAAACTGATTAGACTCGAATACTTGTTAACATAAAATTTAGATGTCAATGGCGTTCTGAATAGCAAGTTACTTTTTTATCTTAAAAAATTTTTATTTTGTCGCTTTAAATGTTACTTCTTATGATGGATATAAAAAACAGAACTGAGCAGACTAGTGTAATTGTCAAAATACGATTTGGATGTAAAGGACAGACTGTATATTAAAATGATTTTCTGTCATTAAATAGTAGTGTTTAGTGGTGTTTAATTAAATTTTTCATAAAGCATTGCAGAATAAAATTATGAAATCGGTTGGTATAAATGCTTCTCTGATTGTGTAATAGAGTCCTGTCAATTCTCATGTCTTTGAACAATTTTTCATGATCCTTAATTTCCGTTCAAAGCTTAAGCTTGAATCTGTAATGCCACTCAAATAACACCACAGTTGTTTGTAGTTACTTATGCAAAAGAAAGCAGTTTTAATTAAATGGATCAGACTGTGCAATTTTTTAATTTAAATTAACCCTTTCTCCCCACCCCTTAAAAAATGGATATATGAAAAACAAAAACACAAACAAACTACTAAACAGTAAAAAAACAACAACAAAAACAAAAAACAAAACAAAACAAAAAAAAGGAAAAAAGGGAAAGAAAAAGAACAGCAACAACGGCAAAATTCACTATGCAAAAATTTGGGTCAATCAATTCAATTACTGTTCCCATACATTCATCCAAATAGGAGATAATTCACATTGATGATTATTTCACTGACCGACACTGTACTTACAGTAGTTCTGCAGTTAATATGAACACGTTTTTGTAGTCATGTTATGGTATAAGACCGTTCAGGTGAAGGTACAGACGTATAAACTTGTAAGCGGATTCAAACGTCTCAAATACCTCAGCAAACATTTATCAAACTTTAGTCAAAGGTGCCTGACTTGTAGTTTTTCCCAAGTCACCTCTATCACAGTCACTATCACTCCTTTTCAGGATTAGTCTCTGGACAATCTTGTCGTGAGTAAAAAATTCAAATTTTTCTCTCACTTCCAACAATTAATCAAAGACCAATAAGACTCCTAAACAAAGTTCGAAATTCTGTAATTTAAAAAATATGATTGACGTGTGAAAGGCAATGGAAAGGAACTTAAACTGTTATTAATATGCTTGGGTAATTCGCGGCTAATATGCATGTTTTTTCACTTGATTTCCTGATAAAATTAAGGATGCTAACCAACGACATTTGTCTGTTTCTAACGATTGCCAAGATGGGTAGTGTTGTTGTTGTTGTTGTTGTTGTTGTTGTTTATTTAATTATTAATTTGGTTAATGTTTTGTCTTTTTCAGTTTTGTTACAGTGCATTGTTGCAATTTTTTTTAAGTTCAAGTTTTTTTGTGTCTTTACTCTCACAGATAGAATCTTCAAGAGAGGCTCGGTCAGCGCTGGAGAATCAACTAGAACGGCTAACACGCGAAAAGGTTCGTGTTTATCGACTTATCTTCTGGGGATAATATACTTATTTCCTGGAGATGATTATTTGCTACGCTTATCCTTGTTCCTCATTCTGCGTTCATTTTTCAGTTTCTTTATTTTTACAATGTGTTAGGTCGACCTGATGGCAGAGCTGGAACAAGCAAACAGCCAAATCCTGGCGAATGCATCTGAAATTTCTAAGGTAAGTCTAAGGTTGGTCCATGCCTTATGACATGAAATGAGAGCTCTAAGCGCGAAGAGATTGGGACGAGACAAGATGGGTGGTGATCCATCTCATACCATAGGTTTGGGTCCACTTTCACCACACACTTGTTGGATTAAAGTTTTCTTTTATCGGTGGAAAGTCTCTTCGAGTTAGTGGGATTATGACATTCAATGTGTGTTACGTTTCACTGGCGCGTCAATTAGGCTTGTGTAGCACAAGAGACACGTGAAAAATACAAAGAGTATGTGGAATAGCTCACTCGTATGGTCAATCTAAGGTTTTTGAGTTTTCACCAGGCTAATGAGACTATGGAGAAAGAACTTGAACAAACACAAATCAGATTGTCAACTGCTTCACAAGAATTGCACTCAGTCAAAGCAACTGCTCAGCAAGCGCAGAGGGAAAGAGAGCAGGTAACAGATAAAATACAGCGAGAAAACGTGTTTGATGTATCCATAGACAATTACAGATCTCTGACCACATTGCTCATGCTCGTCTGTTCAGGAGAGAATACGGCTGACAAGTGAAATGGATGAACTTAGACGGCGTCTCCAAGAAGCTGAACACTCGTGGATGGAATGTAAAGAGGACAGCATCAGATTTACTGAAAGACTCAATACTGCAGAGCGAGAAGTAAGTGCATAACAGCGTTTTTTTCTTTTAGTCGTTTCTTTTCTTCGTCCGTTCGTTTACCCTTCATCCTGCCCTTACCTGGCATTATCTGTCGCGTGATTTAGCAGAGTGGGCTGGAAATATCCCGGCGCCGCGTGAACCGCAGGAGCAAGGCGCGGATTACTCTGAGTAAGACAAAACTATTGTCGATTAGTTCAAAGGCTTTTGATTATTCATATACAGGCTAAAAGTGCCATTGCTGCGAAAGAGAAGCTGGAGAAAACCAGGGCGGAAGATTTCGAACAACTCCGGAAACAAAGCGGACAAAGAGATAAGCAACTCACCACGCTCTTACAAGAGACAGAAACAAGGCACAGTAAGTGAATTTTTATCGACCATTTCTTCTCTGTGAGTATTCGATTCCTCTTAAGAAGAAATACAGCTGCTTCTTCGTGCCTTATCAGGGCTCGACGCATGCATAATGTGCGCTATTTTGAATGTTTAATTGGCAAAAAACCAAAAATATTTCTTGGTCGAAGCTTGTACCGTTAACAAAAGTTAAGGCTGTAGTCATAGGAGTCGTAGTTTGAGTCAAAAGCAGAGTTTTTTGACCAGAAAGTTTCAGATTTGGGAGAATCAGAACGTTGCCATTTTCTTCCGATTTCCTCTTTGACCTGGCGCTTATAAACCTATGGGAACTTTATAATCCTTTAGAAATTTTATTACCTGAGGGAACTTTTATCGGAGATGCCGTAAACAGAAGCGAAAGAACCAACCAAAAACAATGAAAGGCCCTCTGAGTACGACTCCCAACAGTTTATAATAAGCGACGGAGTTGAAGGCGGCATCGGTATCCTACTTCCGATACCATCTGTTTGATTTTCATTAGATCTTATCGTTCTGCGCTGTTGATTATATTATTACGACATCGTTAAAAGTAGCTTTTTGTTTTCGGATATGTGTCATTATACATGACTCGCTCTGCTTTCTGCAGCTCAGTGTAGAACTGAATTGCAGCAGATGCTCGAGGCTGAGATTCATGTGTGCAACAAAATGAAAGAAGAGTGCAAGAGACTCACTCAGAAGTTGGAAGATTCCGCTGAGAAATCAAGGTAGGTTATCTGAGTAGAGTGTTTTAGACAAAAATAAAAAGAAGGAAATCAAAACAGCTCAGTGACTTGACCAGAGGTTGGGCCCAGACCTCTCGTATCCAGTTTGACCACCTGATATCCCATTTTAGTAACTAAGCAAATTTCCACTACAGAGATTTCCATCCCATAATACATTCGGTCGATATTTCCACACCTATTTTCTCTCTGTCTGATTGTTTTTTCCTGTCTGATCTGGCCTCTTCCAGAATACTGTGAAATCTTTGAAATCAATGATAGGAAATTTGGTTGGTTGTATTGTGTTCATGGTGCAAACTGCTTCAAACTACTTTCTTGCGCTCTCAGTCAGAAAGAGATTTATGCTTGAGCATGTTCTCTAAATATTCACCTTGAGTTCCCCTTAATGAGATTTGATTAAATTTAGTGCCAAGGTACAAGATGCAAACAAGGAATGCAGTAAGTTGAAGAAGAAACTTGACGAATCTGTGGCACGGAGGCGGACTTTAGAGGAACAAAACACGAAAAAAGACAAACGTATACATGAATTGCAGTCTCGTCTCAAACAGAACGACGAGAACACTCGCAAGCAAGTAGATCAGGTAAAAAAGTTTAGATATATCTGTATGCTGTTATCACCTTTTTATAGGACGTCTCTTAGCAACGGGTGACTGGCAAAAGGAGACCAACAACACCAAATCAAAAACAAAATTAAAACCCGAACAAAAAAGGGAAAAAAAAACTAAAAGAAAGAATTTTTCATTGTTGGGGAAAATGAGCAATACCTGATTTGATTCTATGATCGAGTTAGGTTGGTTCTGGCTATTAAGGACAGCAACAACAACGACAACAACAACAACAAAACCAAAAACAAAAACAAAACTAACAACTTCAAAAAAACGAACAAATTGATTATAGCAACTAAACTATGTTAGAGATAAGTTATCAGGTCGGAAAGGTAACATAATGATGCTGGTATTCATGGTTTTGTTGTCTGTTCGGTTTATTATCATTCTTATTAATGTAACTGTTAATAACGATAACAATATTATTATCATTGCTATTGATATTTTTGTTATTGAATAATTGATTTCCTTTTTTGTGAGTAGATGTGTCAGTTGCTTGCCACACGAAATAACTTGATGAAGGAAAGAAAAATTTTAAGTCAAGAAGTCGAATTCTTGAGGAAACAGTTGATCGCGAAGATACCCTCTGAGCCTGTGACACCCTTTATGGAGACTGCCAGTAACTCAAGTGCTGAAGATCCTGGTCGCATAACCGAAGCGAAATAGCGTGACGCTTGATGTGTGGCATCCATTGATCTGCTATGAACCCTGTTCACAGATTTATGCCCAGAGACGAATTGAAGAAACGTTCCATATGAAAATGATAAGATTTTTAATATATATTATTATTACCGTTACTTTTATCATCTTTTAGCTCCAGTTTTTCAAAACGTAGCGAGATCTTTTTTGTATATATCTGCAGGGTTGCTTTTGCTTCTATTTTTTGAATATGAAAACATCTATTTTAACTGTTTCAAAATGGAAAAGAAAGAAAAGAAAAGAAAGCCCAGAAAAAAAGAGAATCAGTTTTAACACTAAATACTGTTGACGTTGTTTTTTATGCCTCATATACTTCTTAACTGTACTAAAAGAGAAATCACCATATTAAAATAACATATAGATTTAGCCAAGCCTAAAAGTAGAGCTCTTGTTAGTTTATTTTCTAGCCCCTCATTATCATAAAAACTGTAATAAAACTCTTTAGCACTGACTGCAGGAAAGTTTTTCCAAGGGGATTAAGAGACCAGTCCAGGGGTTGGGGAGGAAAGGGAAGAATTGACGAGGTCTGGAACCTGGGGACCACGTTTTCAACTTGCAAGGCGATCAACACGCATGCTGCTAAGGACCTTCGTTGTTCTTGATGTTTTGAGCAAATTTTCGAAGATAGGGAATCTTTTTTCCTTCAGAGATGCCAACATCAGTTGAAATTATATTCTTTTGAGCGTGACTGATAATTTTGGTTTAGGAAAATGAGCCAAAATTGAAAGAAACGATGGTAAACTACTTCAAGTTTAGACATCACTCGTCGATTGAAGAGTATACAAGTGATAACAGTGAATTAGTAAATCAAGACGCCAGAATCGCATGGGCTTCTCTTATATCTTCTCTTGAAGTTGTCAGGTATGACTGCTTGCCCCATCGTTTTTCCCCTAACGTTTCAACCTCCTCTGTTCCGCGTAAAAGTTAAAAAGAAAAGTCATTTTCAACTCGTGTTTGAACCTGTAATTTTTTAAGGTGTAAAGTGTAATTTTTGGCTATTGTTGTGTCATGATTGTCCTGTGGCTGGAAGTACACGGCATCTTTTTTGAGATTCTTTCTGTTATTCGATTCGGTAACTACTACCGTAACTACTCATAGTGTAGGTATCTTTGAGCCAACTGCCCTTGATCTCAGCAACTCTAGCAAGTGAAGTACGAAATTTTGCCTTACATGTTTCTTGCGCTGCAAAAGTTTGCTTTAAAACAAGACAAGCTAGAATTAAAATGTCATAATCAAAACTTGATGGCGAAGAGAGACTTGATATTCGATCGTGAAGACATTTGTGGAAAACTTGTGATAATACCTGGATTTCATTTTTACATCGCAGCAATCAATTCCAAACGTCAATCAAGTTTTCTCTTAAGATTTAAAGTTGAGTTGATGTTGTTATTGGCCATATTAAATGGATTGAAAAGGTTTAGATGGTATTTTCTAGTGTTTGCAAATAGTTGAATTTACTGGAAGGTAGAGTTGTTGTAACATGTTAACATGAAACAATAAATTTTGTTGATATGTAAAAGTTTTCATTTGACTATCAACTAGCAAGTTGTTGTATTATATTCCAACCCAACCATTTTCCACAATTTGTAAACACTATTACATAATAATTAGTCAATGCCTATAGTTCAAGCTTGCCACAACTTCAAACTTTTGATGCACACCTCAAAAGGAGGAGAAATAAATTTCAAGTTTCTATTTATTCAGGGTAGGTTTGTCAGGTAAAATTGAGTCAAACATTCATTCAACGACAGGTTCAAGAAATTTTCATGACTAATATACTAGGTTAGCCTACCTAGAACAATCAACTTCATGTACAAGTAAGACTAGATATGTACTGATGATGCACAAAAAAACTATCTGTGGTAAGAGGGCAGGCTTTCCTTTCTTCATTAAAAAAGAATACTGAGTTTACCATCTCTCCACAAGCTCAGAGGAAAGTGAGAGTGAGAGAGACCAATAGTTACTATGTTATTTGAGTAAATATCCAGAGAAGGATAAAAGGTAAGATATAGTCTGTACAACTCTCTTATTTTAATTTTAACCTATTAAGGTGGGTTATTTATATTCTTGCTTTGTGCATCATGTGGATGCCAATTAATTTAACTTTCATGTAGGTCAAAGTAAAAACAAATTAAAATAGCAGAGCCCACTTTAATCAGTCCTAATTAACAGGGGATCCTTGCTTTTCCAGTTTCCCACCCTTTAAAACTCACATACCTTGTGACCAATTCCTTATATCGATGTTTAGTTTGGGTACAAGTATTGGTAAGAAAAACCATGCATTAATGAAAGCTTGAGCAAGAGTATATAATGCAACTCAAATGATAATATTACATGTTACAATGTGGCAATTTACACAGCAAAATTATTTAATCACACAATTCCAAACAAAACAAGTCAGGTGATTGACTAACATGCTTCAACTTTTGAGGGCTTGAGTTACAAAGAAATATATAATTATGGTAAACAGTTACAGTTAATACAAAGTTGAAAGTTTAAAATCTAAGAGATATACATTACAATAATCAAATCCTATACACCCTAGCAAGGGTCAGTCACCACTATAACTTCTCCCACACAATCATACTTGCAGGAAATCATTAATTTTTGTCAAGGTGGTACTGTACTTACAATAGTTCTACTGACACAAATGTGTTTTCCTAAAGTTATCTCATAACTTATGACTGTACAGGTCCTGGACAGGTCATGTGGAAGGTTCCTGCTTGGGGACTGACATTTCAAGTACCTCAGCAAACTGTAATCATCAGAATTGCAAGCTAATGTGTATTTACTAAGTGCTCAAGTTTCCAAAGTAGTCACCCAATTGTTACAGTCAAGTTCACTCCTTTTTGAGGTCATCTTCAGCTTGATCATCCTGTGACATGTGAACATATCAAATGTTACTCTCAAATTCAAATACTTGCTTGAATCAAAAGTTATAATTTTTTAATAACCTGCTTCCTTTAACCCTTTAATCCCTGAGAGTGACTTGCATCTAATTTCCCCTTTCAATATCACCCCTGAATCAAACATTGAGGTTATGAGAATACAGGAAATAATAAACTGAACAACCTCTTGATTGATAAAAAAATTCTCCCTGCCAGCACATTAGGAAATATATAGAGAACAGCATGGAGAATATGCATACTGATGTTAGGGTGTAAAAAGGTTAATAGTGCTCCAGAAATGGTAAATAGTGTTGGAGAGAAAGAAATAAAGTTCTTGAAACATTCTATGTTAAGTGAAACTTTGTCATGAATGTTAGTTGCAGTGGCAATGAAAATATCTGTGTTCAAAGCTACGATAACAATTACCTTTCCTACTAAACAAACCATAATGAAGCATGATATGAATAAATTTAATCTCACCCAGTTTGAATGTAGAATCTGAAATCTAATAAACTTACGAGTGAATAGGAAAAAGCTCAATGTGTTTTTCCTGCTTCTGCTGTTCTAAATATCACAAATCAATCATGCCACCACTTCAGTATGATTTTTGTGAAGATGTGTACTTTTTCTTATGATCATCTAGTTTTAGTATCTATCTTTTACTAGCTGACATCTGAGAAGAATCAAGTCCACACTGGTGACTTGACACCTTGTAAGCAAACCCTACAACTCATTAGATTTTATTTGGTCAAAGACATGAGGGCAATAGAGGAAATTGGCTAGCACAATTCAAGTTTCCCTTCTTAGGTATTCTGTGATGGTTTTTTCTATCATATGGTAAATTTCCCTTGTTTCACTGTCTTCTGTTCATCTGTTTGCTTTCCTAACAATTTTAACTATTGTTGCCAACAAATGCAAGGAGCGTATAAAATGAGTACAGTTATTAACACTTTAATTCCTGAGAGTGACTAGCATCTAATTTCTCCCTTCAATATCATCCCTAAATCAAGCATTAAGGTCATGAGAAAAAAGGAAATGATATTCAACTGAAAAACCTCTAGACAATTTGACAAATTCTCCTTACCAGCACATTAGGAAATGTATAGAGAACAATATGGAGAATATGCATACTAGTGTAAAGGGTGAAAGACATATTGTAATCAGTTTTATATAATATTATATAGAGTATTGCTTGAATATAAAGTTGCAAGTGCCTAGTAAACATCAGTCTATGGTCTTCTACTCTTCCACCTTGGAGGGTGCCTTGTGTACATAAAAATTGAAGTTCAGTGCCTTTACCAGCTTTTTTGGCTACAAAGATCAACAAAGAACAACAGCCACATCAAGAAATATTTTTCATGACAAACACCTTTACAATGGTAGATACACACAACTGACATGTTTGAGTGAAGCATGTCAAGTAGTAATTAAGGTATGAATTTGTCAGTTTGTTTTTCATTACTTGCAACCAGCTTATTTCTATCAGCTTTAAAAACTTCTGTATCCTCACTTTCAAAGAAAAGCATTTCTCATGAACATTTAAACATTGAAGACATAAGCTACCAGCAACAAGTTTATTCCATACCAAATTACCAAATTCTCCAAACCAACATCACCAGAACTGTATGGCAGACAGTAAGAAGAATTACTAATGAGATCAGAGTCCACAAAGCCAAAAAAACCCATTAAAGCATGGAAAGGAAAGTCGCGACTTACGTGTACAGCACAATTGACTCTCGCACTTCGAGACGCTTGAAGAACTTCTTGAGGATCTTGATGCATACTTTCGAGCAAACGATTTGATTCTAGAAGGCAAAGCTATAGCCAAGGCTTCCTTCAGGACACTCGTGCCGCTCGTACGTATGCGAATGTAATAAAACGATTGTAAGCAAAGCATGCGTTTACACTTGTTCATTTCTGCCAAAATTCATTCATGAACATTTGAGATTTTCGTTTTCGAGCGACTGCAGTTTTCTTTTTGGTTCTGGATTTACTAAAAGTTCGGTAAATATTTCTTCCTTCTCGAAAACGACACCATTTTAAGTGTTGCAGGATAATCAACCGGTCAGTACTAAACTGCAGACTGCGTGCAAAATGCAAACTTTCGTCTTAAACGTGATAACATGTCGTCTTTTAACTTACAGTGTCACGCAATCGCTTTTCCGCGATTGTGGAATATTCCTCGCCTGTTTCTCATATATTTTGTTTTTAACAAAGCGGCCATTGTATTCGGTTTTTTACAAAGCGGCCACAATCGTTCTTAATATAATTTCAAACCTGCCTATGGTCTTCTTACTTCGCGCGCGAGATGTCAGTACTGAATATTTAAATAAAACCACCACAATCATTTTATCGGGCTTTTGTTGGAAAAACGGTTTTAAAAATTTATTTTTCTTTCCAGGAACACAGATGGCGGGTGCATATACGCTTTCGTTAACGCTTGCCATTTGCTCTGCCACATTGACTTCTCCAAGCGGTTGGGTTGTCCAAGGAGTCATTGGTGCAGTGTGTGTAACTGTTGTGCTTGAGGGTTGGCGAAATGGAGAGAGTAGTCAAAACTGATCAGACTCGAATACTTTTTAACATACATTTTACATTAAATGGCGTTCCGACTAGTAGATGACCTTTTTTTTATCTTGGAATATTGTTTTGTTGCTTTAAATTTGATTTTTCATGAAGGATGTAAAAAAACAGAACTGATCAGAGCAGTGTACTTGTCAACATGATTTAGATATGAAGGGCAGACTGTGTATCAAAATGATTTTCTGCCTTAAAATAGTAGGTTTAGTGGTGTTTAATGAAATTTTTCATAAAGCATTGCAAAAAAAATCCTGAAATCAGTTGGCATATGTTTCTCTGATTGTGTAGTACTGAAGTCCTCTTTTTCCCTCCCCCTCCTCAATCCTTCGCCTTCTCATGGTAAATTAGACGAAAGGTTCGTAATGTGATCTTGGCTCTCCGAAGATATGCGCAGCTCAATGGGGCAATTTTGCATACTTCCCTGATGATCATTGGACATGTTTCCAAGAAGTTGCACAATGAAGAGAAGGAAACAAATCTCCCCTAAGGTGGTGTGATATCCAGCTCTTGCCAGGGGAGCATTATAACCCAAGGTCCTCTTAAGTTAAAAGTGGGGACATATAAAGCAGGTGAAGATAAATACAGATGGCAGGGTTCAGTATGCCATAATACGTTACCTGAGTATGCCGTGAGGCCTTACTGACCAAACAATCCGTTAGAATTTTCCTTGTTGTCAACATTGACTTTGTAGCATACTTGGTAGTACAGTCAAATCTTGGTTATGCACAATCAACTAGGTCCAACTTAGGTCTGGGTATATGCGGATTTGGACCTATATTACTTTATGAATTAAAGTGGAGGGTGCTGGCCACTTTCTGACCTGGGTAGGAATTTCTCACCCTGTCAATTCTCACATCTTTTGAACAATTGTTCATTATCGTAATTTCCGTCGTAGAATGGATTTCAATGATTGTTAGAGCAACGCAGTTCAAAACTTAAGCTTGAATATGTAATGTCACTCCAATAACACCACAGTTGTTTGTTGTTACTTAAGCAAAAGAAAACAGTTTTTGATTAAATGGGTCGGGCAACGAAATTTTCTTATCTGAGGTAACCCCGTCTTCCCCCCAACGAAACAAAAACACAAACTAACTACTAAACAATTAATAAAACTGAACCAAAAAAGAACTGCAAGATCGGTAAAATTTTCAATGTAATCCCTAATGAAATTCAGTAATACAATGTGGATTTAAAAAAAAAACTTTTTAGACGGGACAAAACATTTGGGTCAATCAATACTATTACTGTTCCCATACATTCTTCCAATTAGGAAATCATTTACATTAATGATTATTTCACTGACTGACACTGTGCTCACAGTAGTTCTGCAGATAATAAAAACACGTTTTTGTCTTTATCTTTTGGTATAAGACCGTTCAAGTGAAGGTACAGACGTATAAACTTGTAAGCGGATTCAGACGTCTAAAATACCCCAGCAAACTTTTATCAGACTCGAGGCAAATGCGTTTGACTTGTAGTTTTTCCCAAGTCACCTCTATAACAGTCACTATCACTCCTTTTCAGGATTAGTCTCTTTGGACTGTCTTGTCGCAATTAAAAATTTCAAATGCTTCTTTCACTTCCAATGTCAATCAAAAGACCAATCAGACTCTTAGACAACAGTTTCATATTTTGTAATTTCAAAAATATGATTAATGAATGAAAAGGCAAGGGAAGTTAAACCTTGTCGGGCGTTATCATTACGCTTGGATAATTCGCGGCTTTTACGCATGTTTTTTCACTTGATTTCTCGATAAAATTGAATACGCCATCCAAAGACATTTGCCTGTACCTAACGATTGCCAAGATGGTTGGTGTTATCGTTGTTGTTTGTTTAATGATTTATTTGGTTAACGTTTTTTCTCTTTTCAGTTTTGTTACTGTGCGTTGTTACAATTTTCTTTTTCAGTTCAAGTTTTTTTGTGACTTTACTCTTACGGATATAATTTTCAAGTGAGGCTCGGTCAGCGCTGGAGAACCAGCTAGAACGGCCAACGCGGGAAAAGGTTCTTGTTTATCGACTTATCTTCTGGGGATAATACACTTATTTCCTGGGGATTATTAATTGGTACATTCTTGTTTCACATTCTGCGTTCATTTTTCAACTTTTTTATTTTTGCAATGTGTTAGGTCGACCTTATGGCAGAACTGGAACAAGCAAACAGCCAAATCCTAACGAATGCATCTGAGATTTATAAGGTTAGTCTGAGGTTAGTCCATGTCTTATGACATGAAATGAGAACTCTAACTGCGAAGAGCCTGGGACAAAGTAAGATGGGTGGTGATCCATCTCATACCATAAGTTTGAGTCCGCTTTCACCATACGAGAGAGCAGGTAAAATATTAGAGACACTGATAAAACGTGTTTGATGTATCCTAGACATTTGCAGATCTCTGAATATTTTGCTCATAATCGTCTATCTAGGAGAGAACACGGCTGACGAGTGAAATGGATGAACTTAGACAGCGTATGCAAGAAGCATGTAAAGAGGACAGCATCAGATTCTCTGGAAGACTCAATACTGCAGAGCGAGAAGTAAGTGCATGCAAGTGTTTTTTCTTTCGGTCGTTTCTTTTCTTCGTTCGCCCGGTTTCCTTTCATCGTGCCCTTACATGGCATTATCTGTCGCGTGATTTAGCAAAGTGGGCTGCAAATATCCCGAGACCGCGTGAACCATAAGGAGCAAGGCGCGAATTACTCTGGGTAAGACGAACCTCTTGTCGATTAGTTCAAAGGCTTTTGATTGCTCATATACAGGCTAAAGGTGCCAAAGCTGCTCAAGAAAAGCTGGAGAAAACCAGGGCGGAAGATTTCGAACAACTCCGAAAACAAAGCAGACAGAGAGATGAGCAACTAACCACGCTCCTACAAGAGACAGAAACAAGGCACAGTAAGCGAATTTTTATCGACTATTTCCTCTCTGTAAGTATTCGATTTTGAAGAAGAAATACAGCTGCTTCATCTTGCCTTGTAAGGCTCGACGCATGCGTAGTGTGCGCTATTTTGAATGTTTATTGGGCAAGCAAACCAAATTTTTTTCTTGTCTGAAGTTTGTACTGTTGACAACAGTTAAGGCCGGTAGTCATAGTGTTTGTAGTTGTAGTTAAAAGCGAAGTCTTTGAGCAGATCGAATCGGAGCACGGGCTCTCGCTATTTAGTCTTAGTTTGGACTCTAGTCCTAACTTTTAAGCCCCTTGATTATTATTAAGATGTTTATTATATTGGACAAGCCTTAATTATTGTCTAGGATATGTTTAGAAGTAGTTTTACGAGGTTTTCTAAGGTGTCATCGACTCGACGCCCTCGTGGCAACAAGAACCACCTCCTGAAAGTGGATTCCAGTCTTCAACTTATGAACGCAATGCTCGTGGCTGTGTTCGTTATCCTGCTTGCGGGAGATATTTCCAGGAATCCTGGACGTATCCATCCAGATACTCCTCAAGTTGAAAATATATAAGTTTTGATATCAAATCGACGTAATTTGTTTTCAAGATTTAAACAACCATCACAGCGTAACGTCGCACTTCGCACCCACAATCAAAGGAACTATCCAAATGGCAATCTCGTTTATATCCCTTGACAAATAATGGAATCATCCAATAGTCCTAACGAAAACAAACCGATTCGTGGACAGTCTCATTGTATAAAGACTTCCCACTTAAACGTGCGTTCTTTGAAAAATCGCGAACACTTTCATCAAGTTTCTGACTTCATCAACAACAGTGATTTTGACGTATTAACTGTCTCCGAACTTGCTTCAACTCTACTGTACGTAATAATGAAATTAATATCTTTGGTTACGGTGTTGTTAGACTCGACTGAGCTAAGAGGAGAGGTGCAGGCGTCCGTGCTTATATCCGGAGTTTGTTTAAAGTTAGCATTCTACGGGACATTACCTCAACATCCAACAAATATGGTTTACCGTACAACATAAAAAGCTGAAGCCTTTGGTCGTTTGTTACAGACATTCTGATGTTCCCTTCGCAAGCTTCGCAGGTGAATTGGCGTCTACTTACTCTCAGGCTGCTACGCTTGGGAAGGACATCGTTATATTAGGCGATCTTAATTGCGACATGCTCTCACCTACTAAACCAGAATGTCGTATCATCAGCGAGTTGTGTTCCTTGCTAAACCTTATCTAGTTTATTTCTAAGCCAACGAGAGTCACTGAAACAACAGAGTCGCTTATTGATGTTATCCTCACGTCAAATAAGAATCTCATTAAGCAGAGCAGCGTACTTCAGACCATGATAGGCAATCACTTTTTGGCATCCTGTAAATTAACTCTGAAGCGTCCAAAATCTGTTCCTCCTACCATAACGACTCGTAGTTTTAAGAACTTTAACACTGAGGCCTTTTGCAAAGACATCTCGGAGACCCCCTTAGACAACTACATCGATGATCAAGTGTCGTCGTTTAACAAGCTTTTCCTTGACATTCTCGATCAACACGCGCCTATCAAATCATCCAAGGCCAAACACAAGAAATCACATGTTATCACTGGAGAGATTAGAGAGCTGATATCGAAACGTGTCTCTTTAAAGTATGCCTGCATGACAATAAACCCCACTGATTGGGAGGCGAATAGGATCCTGAGACAAAAAGTCAAGTCTAACATCAGAGCAACTGAGTTTAAACATGTTAAAGAGGAAATTGCCACCAATCTGTCCAACAAATCATCAATATGGAAATTCGTTCGTCGATGTCTCAACTCGCATGGTAGTTCCAACTTACAGTACTCTAGGGACACTTTAGAGGTCGTTAATACCTTCAACTAGTACTTCGTTTCAGTTGGTGGGGCAGCTGCTATCAAAGCAAAGCAGCTGGCTATTGACCATGGTTTACCTCCCTTCTGTCCACCGACAGAGAACGATGCATCGCCTAAGTTCACTTTTGAGCGCACGGAACGCATTGGTCACAATCAGTTCGTCCGCTATTCGACTTCAAATAGCAAGATGTCTATCCCCCAAAGGGGCAATAAATAGCTTCATTCATCTGAAAAACTCGGTATCCTTTTACCAGTCACCTTTTGAGTGTAATTGATGATAATGAGGTGACTGGCGTTTTGATTGTAGATCAAAAACGTCTTTTTCTTTTTTACATTCATTGTTTTCATTCAAACGACCTTAATTGCAGTAAAAATGTTTGCGTGCGCCGTGCAATGTTACGTAACGTAGCAAATATTTAACGTGTTTTTATCGTAGTTGTTAGTTTTGCTTAGTAAGTTCACTTGTGCTTATATCTCATATCATATTCCTTCAGCTTCCTTCGTATCGCACTATGTGCAGTCTTTTCGCCGTTCGGCAGTTAGTCAGCTTTATTATTTCAGCATAGTAACAAATGTGAGTTTTGGTATTTCTGTTTTGTTATTTACATTGTAATTTCCTAAGCGTATTTAGTTTTAGCGTACTTAGTTCAATTTAATTGTAATAGGTTTCGTTCGTCATTTTGTTTACAGTTTTAACCGGTTCTACCAACTAGTACTTGAGTTGTTGCAACAGAATAAGTCATTGAAGCCGCGTTAAATTTAAAGCTGTCTACTTATTGCTGAAGTCGCCCATGGCAGTCACATTGCTAAAAATTTGTTCGAAGCTTCAATGATGTCTTCGGAACGAGTACTTGAAGAATCGGACGAAGTAAACCCGCGAATAAGGACTAGAAGACCGAATACGACCCTCGATTCAGATGGAGTTCGTAGCGAAAGGATTCGAAGCCTTAAAAACACTCGAAGAGGTCACACAGCAAATGTAACCGCTAACGTTAGTGAAGTCATCGAATTACTTTAAGAAACTTACATGAAGTAAAGGCAAAACTTTTAACCTCCGAAGAGGCCTTTCGTAGGTTTGGATAAGCGCACAACAATTATGCAGCAGAACTCGAAAACGAAGAAGAGAAGATTAAGTGCATGGAGTATTTCAGCCGCGAACAGGAGAAGTTCAAGGACTTCTATCAGAGAGTGCTAGACTGGATCTCGAGAGTCGAAGACAACCTCCTGGCTGCACTATTGAATAAATTAACTCCTCGGCCAAAGTTTGTACATAAAACATGAGGGTTTTACTTTCTTAGCGGTTTGAACCTTTTAAAAATATATATTGATGTTAAATATTGTCTACACAGGTAAAACAAACTATGAAACACCAAAATTACCACGAGCTGAAATTAAATCTCACAGGCTCGCTCCCTAATCTGCGTCACGCACGAGCGACTTCGCTACAATTAGTACAGTAACAAACAGATATTTACATCTGTTAATTTACAATAAGTCTTATTTTAAAATATCTTACTCAACGATGTGCCAGGTTCCCCTGTTAACTTCCTGAAGTAAAAATAAAAGAAAATATCATAATAGCAATTCAAACTGAAACGATAAGAATTGATTTTATTAAGAATGAGAAGCTTTATGCCGTCAATAGCCAATCAGAAGTACCTGTTCTCACGAAAATTGCATCGTTCTTTAAATAAATAAATCGAATTATCTTTATCTGTGAAACATTGCATCTAAAACCAGAGTTTATTGTCGGGGAACTTCATAGAACAGCGATGTCTTGCTCGTTCTTGAATATTGTTGGTGGGATTTGCGGCGCAGACGAACGCACAAGTTCTTCAACTTCCGTCACGCCTCTCACGCGGTGTAACAGGGATATCAAAAATCACAAAAAGTCGTTGAAATTTTCCGGAATTGAAACGGAGGTAGAATTAATTTTGGCGAGATGTGGATGTTTTCAAAAGCCGGAGAATTTATCGGATATGACCAGTGAATTATTTTTAGTCTATTCATTCTGATGACTTGAGATTACATGAAAGAATCATTTGTTTAAACGACGGAGAGAAATAAGTAAGGTTGATGAAGGACATTTCGTTACTTATCTCTTCATTCATTTGTCCAATCCAATTTTTTTATAACAACCTTTATTTCATGCCTCTCCTTTTTTTATGGATTGCGCTTATATTAGTGCGTGCACTGTATAGTGCCCTACCCACTTTGTCGCCAGGTATGTGAGTGAGTGAGTGAGTGCCGGTGTCCGTAAACAAACAGGTCCGCAGCGCGTGCACAGCACTACCCACATGTATACAATGAGTTCCTATTTTTTATCAGTATCTCTCAGTTCGTACGCGGGGTGTGATTGGTCAATTTTGCGCGGCCCACTAAACTTTAACTAGTTTCCATTCCCGCGCGCCCGATTGACCTCAGAGACATAATGAATATCTTACTAACCTCGTTTCGCAGTCTGTAACTTACAGTACGCACCTGGAATTTGGTTAGTAGGGGTTAATTTACTTTGTTTAAAACATTTCAATTTCGTTTCGCAAAAAGCCACTTGAGAAAGATATAAACTATAAACAAAAAAAAAAGAATAGTCTAATCACATTGCTACTCCCCCTTCTTCTCACCTCTTATCGCGCAGTCAACTTTCGATTGTTATTTTATTCTGTGGGTCGACAAAACTTCGGACTTTTGTGTTTAAAAAATACGCGCCTTTCGGTAATTTCGTAGTTTTGACGGGAGTTTGACTATGTTTTTTCTAAAGGAATTTGCGTAAAATGCAGAAAGATGCTTAGTGTGTATAAGGAAAGAGCACCTGAGAAATGCCAGATGACCGCTGCAGTTTCAGAGATCGCCGAAACCTTGAACAAGTTAAATCTGGTAAGTATACGCACATGCTTTATTATATAATATGAAATACCGGTGACAAGACACTTTCCCAGTTATATCGCTTATCAGAGACCTTATAGTCTTTCTGTCATGTCAGCCAATCTCTAAACGTTTCTTCAGGCCACCAATAAGCATTCATCCTTTCACTTCACAAAGTCATACAAACTCACAATCCAAAATCATTATGACGTCGTTTACGTCTTGATCTATTCCCCACACTTTAAAGTATATTTAAGGTCTTTTTTAAAATTTTTATTTTATTTGCCGGGGGGTGGGTGGGTGGGTGGGAGGCGAGGGGGCAGGAGAGAGGAGGATGTAGATTGGATGGGTGGCCAACCCTCTCCATTGTGTATCTGCAGAAGTAAGAAAATTAATTTGTACATCAAAACCTAAATACGTTATATTACACCATTTGAAATCTAAAAAAGCATGTGTCGAGGACCGTTAAATTACTTGTCCTATGATATGTGTCCATGGCAGCCGAAATTAGACAGCTCTTAATTAGAATTTCGTTAATTTAAAGTTTAACTGGAAAACTTGGTAATCCAGAGTCGGAAGCAGGGTTCGTGAATGATATAAGGAAGTCATAGGTGTTTTAACACTAACTTTACTAGAAATGTCGAACTGGCCCACGAATCGAGGGCGAATCTTTTGTTCATTGTATATATAAAATATTTTAACTTTTTCGCACTACAGGTCGATCATGAAGCTGACACTGATATTTCCCTTCCTGTACCGATCACTGATACTGAATGCAAAGAAGGTAGATCTAAACGAGAGAGCCTTTACGTGCCAGACGAAGATTCGCAAGAAAGCGAAGATGACATAAACTATGTGCAAGGTGAATCCCTGAAACAGCTCAATCGCTTTCTACAGCTTCGTGACACCAGCCCAGTCCGCCACGTACTATCAGTACCATGGAATGTAGCTCAAAGCCGTACTAAACGCCGTTATTTGAGAAAAGCTGAACAGTGTGCTTCAGCAGTAATGGAAGTCCTTGCTCCTGAAGATTCGAGTTGCTTGTGGAGGGAATTATGTGAGCACGAAGTGAATCGAAGAACAACTGGCGCGAAAAGTTGTCAGGAAGTGGAGCTTCTTCAAGCGTTTGCCGAGAGTTATTTGAACGCTCAACACTGGAGTACCCGTCGGCAAATACTCTCAATCCTGGCTGACAAGTTGTCTTTCAAAGAGGTGCAAGAATTTATCCCAACCCTGACAAGTTACCGCTTTGACATAGCGCGACACCACACCCTGCCTCATGGAAGAGCAGAACCGATTCCTCGCCAAGAAAACAGGAGAATGAAAGTTGACCAAGGAAAATTGGAAGATTTCATTTCATTGATCACAATTTCACATGTGATTCAGGATGTTCCATTTGGCGAAAGGCTTTTGAAATTATCAACCGGTGAGGTTATTAAAACACCAAATGTAATCATAATGATGATTCCGGAGCGTATTGTTCAACAGTACCAACAATATTGCAGTGAAAGAGGTTTTGAGCCCATGAGCAGGCGAACACTGCATAGAGTGCTAGATGAGTATTCTGCGTCTGTTAGGAAGTCTTTTCAAGGACTTGATAACTTTTCATCTCGAGGAGCAGAGGCATTTGATGACCCGGACAAAGTGGTCGATAAACTGGTTGATGGTGGAAAAACAGAAGTGTGGGCCAGGGAAATGAAGCAACAGTTACGCTCATCAAAGCAATACCTGAAAAGTGACTACAAGGTATTTGATTTATTTCATTACACGGTTTGTTATGAAGTACTTCAAGAGAAAGGCGCAAAACTGACAGAAATTTGATGCAACAACACAGGCAAATTATTTTCCTAAAGTTCAAATCTTTGAAAATGCATAATATTGATACTTGAACTAGTTCCAGGTCCTCTCGTGCGTAACTAAGGAAGGAATTATTGTCGATAACCTGTAAGTTATATTTATACATTTTGCAAACAAAGGGGGACCGTCGGCCTTTTCAATGTAATTGTTTTATGGAAATAGTAGTTAAGATCAGGACGATATAATTACTGTATTTCCTCCGCTAAGTGCCCGGGCGCTGGATCGAGTCAGGAAGGGGCTCCTAATATAGAGGTTGGGCGCTTGTTCCAAGGGCGATTTACTTAAGAGGAGCTCGCTTATTGGAGGAAATGCGGTGATTGAAATTGTTTACGTTTTTATTGTCTTCGGCTTGTTTCAGGTCCATGTGGTTGAATCTTCGAGCATTGCTGATCATTGTAGGACTTACGCCTTAAGTGACTCAACAGACTCTGACTTCCAAGGCCACTGCAGTCATTCACACAACGAAACATGTGCACAGTGTTGCCAGCTGCAAGAAGTTCTAAGCATCTTGGAGAGTGAGTGTTCAAGTGCAGTTTATAACCAGGAGCAGAAATCGGACATGCTACACGCTGTTAAGCAGGCCAGAAATAATATCATGAGCTGGAAAGCCCACCAGTTGCGCTCCGTTCACCAACATCAGGCCAAATGTTCTGTTCTAGCTAAAATGAAGAGCAAATGCGACGTGTTACTAGTGCAGGATTGGGCAATGAATTTTATGCCACGAAAATTTCGAGAGCCGCAATCAGACTGGTTTGCTAAGCGCGGCTTACCATGGCACATAACAGTTGCTATTAGGAAGTCGGAAGAAGGCGAGCACTTTGAGTCTCAAACACTCGTACATGTCTTTCAGAACTGTTTAGAAGACAGCGCTGTAGTGGTATCGATAATGCAGGATTGTCTTGTTTCGCTGAAGAAGGAAATGCCGGAATTAGAAAGGGCGTTTTATAAACAAGATAATGCCGGCTGTTACCACAGCGGATACACTATCGTTTCAGCAAAATTTGCAGGCGACATTGCTGGCGTGGGCGTGGAACGGAACGACTTTTCCGATCCTCAAGGTGGAAAAGGAATATGCGACCGCCAAGCAGCGACTATTAAAGGAGACATTGGAAGATATGTAAACGAGGGCAATGATGTGACAAAAGCAATTCAGCTCAAAACAGCCATAGAGTCTGGTCCAGGATCTTGCGCTAAGGCTAGATACGTTACATTCAACCTGTCATGCACTCGGCACGTCAAATGGGATAGTGTAAGCTTACTCAACAACTTCAAGTATGAGGAGAACGGAATACGAGCGTGGAGGACATTTAATGTGGGTCCTGGAAAGTTGCTACCGCGGTCTCAGTTTGAAGGAGTTTTGCAGGTCCCGGAAACTCTTGAAGTGGTTGATCCCCCATAGCAGAAATTGAGTACTAAGCCATCTTTCAAGAAGGTGAGACACAGACATGTAAATAAAAAATCTGCAAGTGATCCAAACGCAGCCAGTGATGCCAATAGCCGTGAACAAGAAGATGATGATGGTGAAAACGAGCAAGCCTCGTCACTTTTCCCATGCCCCGAGGAAGGGTGCATTAAAGCATACAGCCGCTTTGTATCATTACAAGCACATCTAGACACGGGGAAACACAAGCGACTACCTGAACAGGAAACGCTGTATGACAAAGCAAAACGAGGATATGCTTCAAAGCTAATGGATGAAGGTAGCAGTATTTCCACTGTGCAGTTACAATGTGAAGAACAAAACAGCCAATGCTTTTCGCCCCTTACAATGGGATGGGCACTTAAGACAACCACAAAGAAGACACGTTTTACGCAAAAACAGAATGAATTTTTGAAACAACAATTTGAAATTGGCGAGCAGAGTGGAAGGAAAGCAGATCCGAATGAAGTCTCAAAAATGATGAGATCTTCAAGGGACGAGTTAGGAGCTCGTACATTTCTACCAGAAGAAGTTCTAACAGGACAGCAAATCACTGGATTCTTCTCACGACTGGCAGCAAAGAAAAGGCTTCCTCCCAGTACAGTGAACCGGGAAGAGTCGGACGAAGAGACCACTAGAGAAGAACAGGTAATCCAAGCTGAAATCTGTGCGCAAGTGACGAGAGAGGTTTCCCTTCAGCACCCCATTGTATCGTCGTCAGGTTACAACATCTGTGAACTCATGCGCATGGGCAAGAAAAAGCTGATGTCACTGAGTGTGGACATGCTGCGCAGTATTTGCGATGAACTTGGTGTGGACGTCTCTGATATAACACAAAGACGAAAGAATCCGTTTATTAGTCGTCTTTCAAAGCTTGTAGGCGAGTGCGGCTGTACCTCATAAACAGATAAATAAACTGTTTTCTGTTGACTAATTATGCCTTGCGCATAATTGTATACAAGATAACATCATTTATTTTCTTTCGAAAAAATCGTTTCATTTGATCGTTATCTTTTTTTAAAAGTGTGTTCAGTCAAGAGGTAGATACACTAATGGTATGGCGACCACCTCAAGGCTGCCACCGAATTAAACCAGCCAACCAGTCACGTAATGTAAGCTAATTACAGTTGTATATCCATTCAAAGTTTTAGGGCTAAAAAGTTTGAAATTATCTCCGCAAGAAGCCAAGAAAAATTCAAAGTAACAAAGCTTGACGTACAAGATTGATCAAAGATCTACTTAAATATAGTGTTGTGGGGAAATGGCCATATTGGAGTGATGCAACGACCGTAATTGTGCTATTAAACGTAAACGTATAAATGTTGATGTGACGTTTCCACTAGTATACTGTGCAAACTGGGCACTTTGTGGGTGGTTGGGGAGAGAGAGTAGTATGGTTGTTAAATCCTTTCCCCCACCCCCTTCCCTCCTTTTTAAATGTCGTAAAAATGACAGTGCACATTATTTATTCTTCGGTGCCCTCTTTGGAAAATTCTTAGTATTTTTCATCGAATATTGTCAAAATTAAACTTTATTTTCTCTATCAATGACAGACTGTAGTGTTGTTTGACAAGCGCAATCAATAAAACATGCAAGTCGTAAAACTCATAGTGTTTTTAATAGTCGCATTGGACAACAGAATGAAGAGGATACAAAACTCATTGGAGACAGTTCCTGCTTGGTAGTACATTTTTTAGTTGTTATTTACCTGAGCCCATAGGGACGAGCTATTTTGAAAGGTCAAATATCTTCATAGATTGGAAAAAATATATTCCTATTCCAGTGCGGCTACTTTTCACAGCTCTTGCTGAGTGACCCGAAACAACTTCCTGTATGGTGCAAAAATTAATACTTTTGAACATGATGTATTACTCAGTAAGTGACACAGGCATAATCGGAAAAAAAATCCGAGTGCTTTATGAGACAAACATCCTGCATACTGCTAGGATTGGAATGTCATGTGTGGCATACGCACAATGGAATAAATGTGATGGAATATTTTTAAGCCTGGTGAATAAAGGAGAATGATGTATTATTCAGTAAGTGACACAGGCGTACTCGGAAAAAAAGAAATCCGAGTGTTCTCGGCCATCAGGAGTCGAAACTATCGACATCGTGAAACACCAAACACGATGAGACGGTACGGGTAGTCATCTCCAATAAACTCGTTGGCTTTTAAAAACACGCAATCTTGCTAAAATCAATTCTGGTTCAAGTCCGGAGAGTTTTTTAGGACTTCGTGCGATGTTTTATATCCTTGTTACACAGCGTGAGCAGTGTGACGAAAGCTGAGTAAGGGTAGAAATTAGCCATTGGAAGTTACTTAGCAAGTGCGTTCGTCTGCGCCGCAAATCCCACCGACAATATTCAAGGACGAGCAAGACGTCGTTGTTATGTATGTCTATTAACTTCGCCAACAACATACTCTGGTTATATGGTTAAGTAGATTTGTTTATTTAGAGAACGATGCAATATTTGCTTTTCGTGGAAACAGTTACTTCCGATTGGTTTTCGACGGCACAAAACTTCTCATACTAAATAAAATCAATTCTAATTGAGCTAGAATTACTATTAAGGTTTCCTTTTTTTTTCAGCAAGTTAACTGGGAAACCTGGCACATCTTTGAGTAAGATATTTTAAAAATACGACTTATTTAAAATCAACGAATGTAAATATCTGTTTGTTACTGTACTAATTGTAGCTAAGTCGCTCGTGCGTGACGCAGATTAGGGAGCGAGCCTGTGAGATTTAATTTCAGCTCGTGGTAATTTTGGTGTTTCATAGTTTGTTTTACCTGTGTAGACAATATTTAACATTAATATATATTTTTAAAACGCTTCAAACCGCTTAAAAAGCAAAACCCTTATGTTTTATGTACAAACTTTGGCCGAGGAGTTAATTTATTCAATAGTGCTTTGTTATGTAGAGTTGGAGATTTCAAAGGCGCTCAATTGGAATTTTATCGAATTTTGATCGGCGTTCATGCAAAAGTGCTACTAGATCTTAAAGATTTAAAACCGTAGACCTAAAATTCAATGACTGAACTGTCTTTGGTTATAATATCAGAAGATTTGAAGAACTACCGGTCAGCTTTTTTCGTCGCTGAGTTTGGATTATTTTACACCTTCGCGTAAATGAGAAAAGTGTGTCTTCTTAATCGGGCCTCAGTTCGCTCACAAATAAGCAGAGATAAAAATAATTCCCATGGTTTGACTAAGGAAGAATCAATGTATTCAATTATACTTAAGAAATATTCACAGCTATGTAAACGTCTGTGTAGCGAGAAGCTGAAAAGTGTAAAATTTCGAGTTTCCGTTAGGTGAAATGCGAGCTTCCGGTAGGGTGACCGTTTTTCGTGGTTTTCTGCCGTTATATGGAATATTTCAAAAAACTAACCTCATCTCCTTCAGTTACTTACCTAGGCCTTCAAACTGACAAAGTATGAGCGCAATCGATTTTTTGACCGTGGCCACGTTTTTTGAATTTTCCTTGATTTTTACTGACATTTACTCTTAAAAAGCTAAGCAAACTTTTTTTACAACACCTGCCTAAATTGCATGTAGTAAAGTCTTTTGAAGTAGTCATAATCCTAGTTTCATGTATTGAAAACAAATGCACATGCAGATTTCCTGTAAACCTATAGTTTAAGCCTGTGATGACTTCGAAATTTTGATGCACACCTCAAAAGGAGAACAAATAAATTTCATGTTTCTATTTATTCAGTTTAGGTTCGTGAGGTAAAATTGAGTCAAACATTCAAGATGTACAATGACAGGTTCAAGAAATTTTCACAACTAATTTTTAAGGTTAGCCTACCTGGAACAATCATCTTGAACTGATGATGCCCAACAGAACTATCCGTGGTAAGAGGGCAGGCTTTCCTTTTGTCATTTAAAGAAATAATGATGTTGTTATCTTTCCACAAGCTCAGTGGAAAGTGAGAGTGAATTAGACTGATAGTGTCTTTGTTACTTAAATAAATATCCAGAGCCAGGATAAAAAGTCAGACATGGTCTGCAAAACTCTCTTACTTTAATTTTTTAACCAATTAAGCTAAAGCTTTACATTCTTGCTTTGTGATTATGTGGATGCCAATTACTGGTATTTAACTTTTATGAATCAAAATACAAGAAAATGTTCTCTTCATCTATGTGCCCCGAACATTACAGGGGAGGAGGCAGGTTAAATTAAAACATGAATTAAAATAAGAGGGCCCTTGTTTTTCCAGATTCCCACCCTTTTAAATTCACATATCTTGTGACCAATTCCTTGTTTCAATGTTCAGTTTGGGTAGGACCATTGGTAAGAAACACCATGCATTAATGAAAGCTTCAACTAGTGTATTTAATGCAATCTAAATAATAATATTACATGTTACAGTATGGTAACTTACAAAGCAAAATTATATAATCACACAATTCCAAACAAAGGGATCCCAACTGGGATCCCACATGGGATCCCACATGGGATTGCACAGGGGATCCCACCTGGGATTATGGAACATCCCACATGGGATCACACATGGGATCCCGCCAATTGAAGTTGGGATCCCACCTTGAATTCCTAATAGCATCCCACTTGGGAAAGCACATCCGGGGCGGATTAAACCTAGAATCCCACCAATCCCTCTTGGGATCCTGCCTCAAATGTCAGATAGTTTCCCACCTGGGAAATCATATCTAGTTTAGACCATGCATAAAATTTCAGATGGCTTCCCACTTTCAGAAAAATCCTTTCTGAATCCTGTTTAACACTGGAGACCACAGATTTATGAAATGTACCAGTTAGGATATTTCATCAATTCCTTTTGTAACCTAATCCTTCAAATTAAGAAGATAAAATTTTCAAGGTGAGCTATAGACCCCATCAATCCACTGAGGGTCCAAAACTTTCCAACAAGCTATAGAACATACTGATATCTCCAATGAGATCCCATTATCTTACCCAAGCTGTTGATCATAAATGATTCAAACAGTACATGAATACCCAGACTATATGTGATAAATATCTCATAATTTATTTGCAATGAACCAGCATGTGTTTGACTTGTTTCCTTCACAAATTTCTTAACCGAACATTTTTAAAGAATAACAGCTCAACTCAGCATATTACTTTTTCTTCATCCTTTATGCAGACCATCTACTGTGTAATATGGCTCAAAGTTTAAAAAAATTGGCTTTTGTGTATCAAAGAATAGAAGAAAGACAAAACCTCAATAATTCATGTTATCAAAAATTTGACAAAGAAGGTACTGATTAAAATTCTGCTCTCTCTTTAATCGAACTTTTCAAAGCAAAGCAAGGTCAGAATGTTCCCAAATGTGACTAAGTAATCTTGAAACCTTACTCATAGATTTATTTCATTGTAAAGTGTAAGCTTAGGAAACTGCAGCATGCAAGTGTCCAATTCAATTCTCAGAATTATTCGATTTACAGTTGCGCTGAGCGTTAGGTAAGCTTAATTCAAGCCGTTATTTCTATTCTTTGGTAAGATTTTGATCACGTAACGAATATGGCAATTTGTACTCATCACAAACTTTTAAAAATCCAAGCTTTATAAATGGCCACTCGATCGTTGTTAGAACCACTCGATATGTCAACTGTTGATTGTCCCTTCTTTAAATTCCACGGCGCCAACGACTTTCTTTTCACTTACAACACTCACGCTGTTCTCGTTTTCCCACTGAACCACAACAAAACCCATCTTTAGAAGTGTTATATTAAGCAAAACAATTCAGCAAAGAAACAACTTGAAGCAAGACCGGTTAACCGATGAAAAGTACATTCAAAGATGAGCGCCAAATGGAGTTTTCGGACCACATTTAGTATCTGGGCAACCGAGCTCGATATCGATTTGTCGTACTCGATTACCATTCCTGCTCGATAAGCAAACGACGTTTGATAATCGAGCTCGATAACTACAAGTCGAGCTCGAATTCACTCTAACCCACTTGAGTTATGTTCACGGCGAAGGTGAGAAACAACACAAGCCAATCACACTAGAAAGTATAAGAGATACCTAGATGATCCCATTGTACTAGTACCCAAATCAACAAGGCTTGACCACAACAAGCGTTCAGCAACACGTTCCAACACAGCTAGCCATCTCGATTCCTCAGTCGGTCTTTCCACTGAACTATAGCAGCGGTGCCAACAGAGTCAAGTACGTCTCATAACGGAGAAAACATTTGCACGAGAGACAGAAGCAACTACATCCGATTACAGAGGTGCACTGGAATTCTCGTCTACAAATGGTTATGCACAGTCCGAAGCGTTTCCGAGCTTGGAAAGGGGGTGGAGAGAACGAAGATACAAGGTTGTCATTTTATACTACAAGTAAAATTTTATATCATACCTACAAGGTTTGGAACAATCTTGATTATAGCTGACACAGAGAAGAACAACAAGTAAACTTTAGAGCTGTAATTATTGAACTGTGACTTACACTTTTCATTTGTATGTAGGGCTTGTATTTTGCACCAAAAATGTATAAAGCAATATTTTTTAGGAGGTCCAGTCATTGGGACATTTAAGAAAAAATTAAGTTATGAAAAGAAACTCGGTTTGTACTTCTCACTACTAACAAGTCTTGTTTTAAAAATATTTTCAGATCAGAGTTTCAAATAAAGCAAATTGAAGAAGTCATTTTAAAGGTGTATTTTCTCGAAGGGAACAGTGACCACATCTGTCTTGTCCGCATGCCAAATATTTGCGGAGTGTATGGATGATCCATTAGTATTGGAACTCTCACAAAAATGTTTTGTGAGGATAAAAACAGCAAAACAATATTTTCGTAGGTGGGATATGTAAATTCTGACTTGGATCCCGGGTAGAATTCATAAGTTCCGCCTAAACTCCCGGGTGGGATGCATAAATCCCACCTAAGATCCCGAGTGGGATGCAGGAATCCTGCATTAAATGCGGGATCCCAGGTGGGATCAAATTTTCATCCCAGGTGGGAAAAGTGGGATCCCACCACCTAGGGCAGGATCCCGCCATTCCCACCTGGGATCCTGGGCGGGATTGCCGGGATCCCGCCTATATCCTGCCTGACATTTTACCTGGGCATGGTACAGAGAATAGACATGGTAAACAGCTACAATTAATACAAAGTTGAGAGTTTGAAAGCTCAAAGATATACATGACAATCATCAGACCCTATGCATCCTAGCAAAAGAAGGGTCATTTACCACCATATTTTCTCCCAAATGTTCATGCTTACAGGAAATCATTTATTTTTGTCTCTAGCTGGTACTGTATTTACAATAGTTCTGCCAACACAAATGCATTTTTCTAAAGTTATCTCATAGCACATGACTGTACAGGTCAAGTGGAAGGTTCCTGCATGGGGACTAACATTTCAATTACCTCAGCAAACTGTAATCATCAGAATTGCAAGCCATGGTATATTTACCAAGTGCTCAAGTTTCCAAATTAGTTACCTAATTCTTACTGTGGAATTCAATCCTTTTTGAGCCTTTCTTCAGCTTAATCATCCTGTTACATGTGAAATCATCAAATGTTACTCACATATTCAAATAATTACCTGAATCAAAAGTTGTAATTTTTTTTAATAACCTGCTACCTTTAATTATGATCCAGGAATAGTAAATGGTATTGAGGAGAAAGGAAAAGTCTTCTTGAAACATTCCACGTTAAATGAAATTTTGTTATGAATGTTAATTGTGATTGCAACAAAAACATCTGTGAAGCTATAACAATTACCTTTCCAGATAATCGGCTCTAAAAATATTAAAAGATGTTTAGTTGCATAGCTAAGGCATTGAATTAATTGTACTAATTCGTAGATATTGACACATTTCACTGACAGTTACTGGTAAATCTAATAACACCGATTCGTGTTTATATACTGAAAGTCAACAGCTGAAAGCAAAGTATGCCAAATATTTTTGCACATTATTTTCATTCCATACTTCTTAAATTTATTTTCAAACATGGAGCGCGCTTAGAGTAATTTCCTTACAGAAGAAAAGACAGCCGTCATGTAAATTTTGGTGTGTGGTGCGACACGTGTTTCTGTTACATGTAGCTCAATGCATGAATTCAGAAATAAAATTCACTGAGCTCGAAAAAATAGAACCATGAAACTGTAGTTACTGCACTATTAGTTAGTATTACGCACTATTTCCTTTGTTTTCTTTTATTTAGTTTTGACTACTACGCACTTCCTGTTAGATACTATTTCACGGTAAATTATTATCTTCGCACCATAATCAAACCTTTAAATTACGTTTTGTGGTATTATTTACCAATCCGAGAATGATGAAAAACAGCATTCGAAGATTCATTTTTGGTATGCAATATTTTCAATTTTGAAAGACCAGAAGTGCTAACGAAGTAACTGAAAACTTATTACAAAATACTTCAGTTACAAAATTTTAATAATTAGGGAAAGAGCTGCTCAAGTCTATAAGCTAGATTGAAAGATACCCCGGTTATTTTGATTTTTGCAGTTGATTTTGTTTTGGTAAGTGTTTGTGGAGTATCCCATAGTAGTATTCTTGCTCACAATTATTCACGTTAGCCTCTTATATGTATTTAATGGACATAAGTGCTAAGCTTATTTCCACGTTTCATTGCAGTTACAATTGAATTCGCATTACTGTGTATGTTATATGGCAAGGGGTTGCTAGTTGCGTTGTGGTACTCAAATGTAGAGGGTTTTACTTTCCACTGTTTTGCCAGGCTCCCCGCCAGATATTATAGACAGTACTTTTTACCTCACGGTATTCATGAGTGCCTTTTGCAGGTTATTCATTTTAATTAAATAGAGATTATTTCGCAATCATACATAAAATACTCGTTTTAAATTAAAATTCTAGTTCCCTTCTTATTTGGAATCTTGTCTCCATTGCTTCTACTTCGCTGATATAATAGAGGTCCTCTTCCTCCTCTTGGGAAGCACTTACCTTTCGCTTTAAGACACCACTCTTGTTAAGGGCTGACAGCCTGCTGAAATATCTTGCAACTTGATGTGTTGAAAGTTAATCTTCCTTTGAAAACAATTTATCTCCATTTGACGATCTTTGACCCTCATTTTACATGCAATATCAGCGGGATTTGCTTTAACACCGGTTTCTTCCCCTTGAAAGAATGTTTCCTGCAAATAAGAGGGAACGCGTTCGGAAAATCTGATTGACTTCTTTGATTTCTTCATTGCCCAACCCTCCTCCAGTGATGGATTGTCAGCTGATACTGATGGGGATTCTGTCACTGACGGTACACCACCAACTCCACCTTGCACATAGTCTCCTGTAACCGTTTTACAGGTCTCTGCCCACTTTGCTATAATGCTGTCATAGTCCGATTCTCTTTCTAACTTGATTAGGTGACGTCCAACATCAAGATGTTTCTCTAGACCTTTAAATTTCTCGTAGACTTTGCCAAATCCTTGTTCAGGGCAGGAATAGAAGGCGACCGATCGCGTTGCTGACTCTACTTCGTCTGACTGAATTATTTGCACCTCCGTTGGCGCTGATGGTCCGACAACTTGGGCCTGCGTTGCTCCTGCACGAAACGTGCCGACATCTTGTAGCGGTTGGCTAAATGGCTGAAGTTCTTTGATACCTGTGGGACCTCGTGGAGTACCATACTTCTGAAGCTGTGCCAGCGAAAAATACCTGCCGGTGCCCACATTGCATGCCTTCCAAGCTCTCAGTCCAGCTGACTCGAACAAGAAATTGTTCAGTGCTTGAATTCCAGTCATGCTATGTTTCGTCATACTTTGAATAGAATCTTGGATTTCTGCTACAGTGGCATAACAGCCCTTTACCCCACCATACGATTCAATTGCAACGTTCATGTCATTGGCGGTGTTTATGTCATTTCCCTCGTTTATAAACGCCGCATGTGACTTTTAAGAGTGGCTATACGGCGGTCACAAACATCTTTGCCGGCTTGGGGATCGCTTAAGTCATAGCGGAAGATTCTGATTCCGACACGCTCACCAAGACTTGGCAATGACAGAATAAGATACGCATTGTGGTAGCACCCAGCGTTATCAGATCGCAAGAGAGCTTCACTGAGGTTGGAATAACTGGTCTTAAAAGCCACAAGCGTACTTTCCAGGATTGATGCCACTGCAAACCAGTTTTGGGTGCTCAATTTCCTACCTCAATTTCTCCGTCATCCCCATTTTTGACAGTAACAGAAACATGCCACGACTTTCCCTTCTTCCCAAACCAATCTTGTTGTGTTTCCCGGTAACCGATCGGGAGAAATTTCATAGCCCAGTCCATAATGATAAGTACTTGGTTATTGGCCAGGTTCTCGATAACCGCACCTTTTGCAGTGTCCTAGTGAGCCGCCCTTAGGATATGCGCTTTCCATCCATCAATATCAGGAATTGCGTTATCCACATCGTACTGTAACTCTTCCAGCAGGTCTTCACTGCTAAAAGACGTATAACAATATAACTTAGATAATATGCTTTCTTTTGAGATTTGAAAACTTGCATATTGTTTGGTAAATTCTTTTCATGGTTCTAGTTGAAAACAAGTTGGTAAATACAACCTTAAAGAGGGTTCAGTTCTCAAGCATTTCATAAAAGTTTAAGATGAAAAATAAAGCGTTCCAGCCTTTGTGATATGACACTGAGATTGACAGTTATTTTTTACGTCATCTCTGACTGCTAGTTACATATTGTAGACTTCAGTTGCATACTCTTTCCATGTCATTCGCGAACAAAACGAAGGTTGTGAGGAAACCAGATGGTATCAACTGTATACACATATAATCACCTGCATTTGACTTCTTGTGAGTCAGATGCCAGCTGAAGGTCTGCTATTACATTCTTAAAATCCTTGCCTTAGCTATGCGACTAAACATCTTTTAATATATTTAGAGCCGAAAAACAAAACATTTGGCGTCACATATACCATTAGACGATTTGATTCGGCTCATTAACCAGCAGCTTGTGGTCACAAAGTGCTTAAATAAACTTTGCCTGTCACGCAATTGTTTAATTCAAAACATGCTTTTGTAATTATCTTTTAATAAAAGACCGTTCAGGTGAAGATACAGACCTCTAGACTTGTAAGCGGATTCAGACGTCTAAAAAAGCGACAGCTTAAATTGACTCTGAAATAAACAATTTTCTTTGTCTGGGACCGTCCTTGCATATCGTCGCTAGATTTTGGCGAAATAGCCCTACATGCCAAATAAATGCGATTTTTGCCAATAGAATGGACTAATCATCTCACAGAAAAAATTTCAAGGAATTCTGTAATCCGCCGAAATTCGAGTGGTCAGTTCTTACACTGACAGCCTCTTAATGCCTCTGTAGACTTTATTGTTATCGAACAGTGGAGGACATTAATTAATGTTTCTGGTCCATTGGATAAGATGCTTGGGTGTGCCGAATTTAGGGGACCCCATTTAGTTGACATTGACCCGTTGATTGTTCATCACGTGATCGCATGATGTGATTTTACTCGCGCCTAGCATGGGCATTCATTTTGCTGCTGTTTCCTCTGCTGTCCCCTCTGCTGGATCGTCATTCTCACGCCCCGCTTCTGTAGACGAGAAAGTGGAAGCCAGCAGACAGCGGAATGGATGGCCATAACGTAAGAAGCGACTATGTAAAAAGAGATTAGTGTCCCTCTTCGTGTTTTTATTTTCCCCTTGATATCTTGGGTGTTCTTTAGAAACCCGTTTGCCTTTTCTGAAAGGTTTAAATTTCGTGTATTCTAGGGGGAGCCACCCGAACGTCCTAAGCGTAATTCTACTACAAGTACGAGGAAGGATGAAAACCACACTGGCGGTAAGTACAGTGTATGTGCACAAGATGTTCATTTAACCCGGAAAAGAATTGGAATTAGAGAACGGTTGAATTGATTGAATTGCGCTGTAACTTCTTCACGGTTAAGTAATTTTGTGTTCTGTTTCTTTTTCGTCATTCGTCTTCATTTAGTCGTTGAAGAGCCTTGACCGGCTGCCGATCATATCACCAGTGCGTACCAATAAATGCGAAACAAAAAAAAAAACTTCGCAGCTTTCGGCAAAATGTTTCTCTAACCTTAAATCACAAAATCGTCAAAAAGGTATTTGGTGGAGCTGGAGGCTGTTTATAATCTCAACTAAGACTCCATTTCGATTGTCGCCGATTTCCATATTACCACTGTCTTTTGAGTGCTTATTAATCTTTGAATGTGAAAATTTCCGCAAGTGAAGAAGGAATTTCGTCCATAAGATGTCGTCTGTGGTATGTACTTGAGCAGCCATTTTGAATTCCTATTTACTCAAACCAGGAGACCACATAGCTTAAAAGGTCCACTACAGCATGGAAAGGAAAGTCACGACTTTCATGTACAGCACAATTGACTCTCAAACTTCGAGACACGTGAAGAACTTCTTGCGGATCTTAATGCGCAGTTTCGAGGAAACGATTTAATTCTAGAAGGCCAAGCGATAGCAAAGGCTTCCTTCATGGCACTCATGCGGCTCGTATGTATGAAGATATATTAAAAGAATTGTAAACAAAGGATGCGTTTACACATATGTTAATTTATGCCAAAATTCATTCAGGAACATTCGAAATTCTTGTTTTCGAGCGCCTGCAATTTCTTTTTTCGGTTGTGGATTTACCAATAGTTCGGTACTTATTTGTTTTAACCCAAATAATCCTAACTCGACATGAGCCATCATTAGATCAAATGAAGCTTGTCATTGACAATCAGAACTGTTAGGCATACCACTATTCGTCGTTCGTTGGTTATTTATTTTATACTAGATTGTATTACGCCGTGACAAAAAACATCCATTTATATTAACTGGTTTCTTGGGGGAACGAGGGGGGATCAGTTGTCGCCAACAGAGTGTAATGGGGGGAATCAAGTAAAATTGACTGCCAATCAACTGCCAATGAGGGGCAGATATATGACAGAGCCTTATAGGGGAGTGGGGGAAAGGGATTAATTTATCTGGCTTATGTAGGGAGACCACTCTTAAAATTCTTTTTCTTTCCAGGAAATCGGATGACGCCTAGACATGCACTTGCTCTAACAGCTGGTAGCGCTGGTTTCGGTTTTTCTACCTATCTCTACACTTCAGAAGGTTGGGTTGCCCTAACGGCCATTGGACTCGTCTGCCTAACTTTACTAGCAGTAGTTTTTAAGCTTTCCCAAAATCGAGGAGAGACAAAAAAAAACTGACTTGAATACTAGTTTAACATAGAATTAAAATGTTATTAGCCTTCTGAATAACAAATGATTTTCTCTTAGAATTTCTTAGAAAATTTTTATATTGCTGTTTTAAACTTTGTATTGCACGAAGGAACAACATACAAATCTGCAGAGTCATGCAGGGGAGCAGAGCTTTTGTCAGCTAAGTGGAGGTAGCGTAAAATTTGAAGGAATCATTTCCTAGACATCACAGATGGGAAGATAGGGGTACTTAGCACAGGATCAGTACTCCAGTAACAATTAATGCTTGGATTAGTTATCAGCCCCATATTTTAATACTAATCCAAGCCTTTATCCCACTCTCTGCAACTGAATACTATACATAGCTTTCTGTTAGCCCTCTCTTTTGTTGTGCATACAAATTAGTTTGAAAACTAACAAGTGCCATACCTCTTGTATAAAAAAGAGATAAACAAAATCCAAGCACGATTTCAGGTTTGTTGCATTAACATTTATTCCTGTTTCTTCACTGAAGTCAATATCTACCCTATGTTTGACTTCTCTTGACCATTCTTCTTCGTAAAATCCTACTTCGTTCTCACCATTCTCTTCCTCGTCTTCACTCGAATCTTCTGAGCTTAATATCGATTCATCAGAATAAAACTCGTAATCAGAGGCTTGATGCTCGGTAAAATTAGCCAGAGGGAAGTCTTCTTCGTCGATAAATTGAATTTTAACATCGCTTTCATCGTCAAAATCTAGTGTAACATCATCTTAAGGAGCCACCATTTTTTGATAACCCCGTTCAAAACGCTTAAATCGCAAAAATCTTCAAAATGGTCCAAAAACAAGCTCAACGGAGAAAATCTTCGAAAAAAGTGACTAACTACTTTGTGTACTATATCATAAAATGTACCATTAGCTTCCAGCCTTTAAGAACCCTCTTTCAAGATCGCCCGAGTGGAGTTTGTATTTAAGTGGCTATATTTAGCCACTTGCTATAAAGGGTTAAAGTGGACGTCCGCAGTGAGTCGAAGGGTAGGTAATGTTTTCGTTAAAATGGCCAGAACGGGAAACGATTAGATTCTCTCTACGTGTTTTCAACTTTCCCCAGATAGCTCTAGTTCTCAGTAGATACCGTTTGCATTTGTTAAAAGGTTTTAATTCCTTTTTTTCCAGGCGAAGTGACCCAAACGTCTTAAGCGGAAGTAAACACATGTGCTGAGGTTTTACAAAAATATTATTAACAGCGGTAAGTATTCGCCCACGTTTGACAGACCATATTCATTTAACCCGAAAAAACTATTAGCCCTGAAGAATCAGAAGTGCACAGTGGAAAATGGTCGAATTCATGAAATTGCGTAGTAACTTTTCATGGGTCAAGGCTTACTTTACGTTGCTTTATGGCCAATCTTCTGCTGACTTGTTGCAGACAAGTCTCAGCTCATGTATTTTCATAAGTTCTCAGTTTGTAACCGTTCTTAATCGGCGAGTGTACGATAAAAAAATATATATTTTCACGAAGAACTCATGTGATCAACCTCAGGCTATAATCCGTTGGAGGTACGTATTGAAAACTGACAGCAAACATGAGAGAGTCACGGCTTACAATGCCGCTCAAATGTGAATTGACGGTCTCGAACTTCAAGAAACTCGAAGAACTTTTCGAGGATCTCAATCC